CGAAATAAAGGATTAACGGATTTATCGTTATTTATGAAACATATATTTTTTTGTTAGTCTCGCAGAATATTCCAGCAGGTTAGAGCAGCGTGATGATCTCACCAAGCTCGCGCGTGTGTCGGCAGCAGAGTGCGGCGGTATCGCGCGCTGTCCGCTCCGCAGATAAAGGGTCAAACATCTCCGACCCCTCGCGTCAAATCGTGCCATATTTAATGCGATATAAGACAATATGTTTACGAAATATACCTACATTTTGGACACAAATTATACTTGCGTCCTCTCTTCTTATGGAACAGAAAATGTGATTCGTTTTTGACCAGGAACCTATAAAATTGCAGCGACTAGCGTGTAGTTAAGGATTGAGGTTTAGTGTTAGCAGGAATCGTTAAAATCGAAGCGTTTCGATGGGTGTATGTACCTTACTGAAGCAGTTAACATAGTCTAAAGTAGAACACTGCTATTTACGTATTGTAAGTTTGTAACAGAGGAGTACCTGCGGCCACATTGAATTTGTATTATAAGCTTTTTCAGGAAAATGTTTGTACAGAAATAATTAATTGTATATTATTACAATTGATATTCAGTGAAGACTGCTCCTGCAAAAATATAGGTTACCTAGGTAGTTACTTAAGTATCTGTTAGCACCTAATTAGTCCCATAATGTAATAGTAGCTTTGCGATAACCAGTCAATTATGTACAACAATATTTTGGGACACGCGACGCGATCTCTGTCATGGCCTACTTTAGGGTGCTACCGGCAGACGCACCCGCCCAACCTCACCACTGACCAAGGTCACGTGAGAGAAGAACCCGTCTCATTGTTGCTTTGGTAAACATGGTAACAAGTATCAGTAACTAGTACAAAATCGCGTATGGAGAATGCAAACAAAGGCTGCAACGGGTATTTCTATAATAGTCTTCCCTCGATGTTTACAGCTGTGTCAGTGCTTGTATCATAAATCATAAGTAGGTGTTGTGATTGATGCAAGTTAGCACTTACCTATGTCTCTGACAGGATCTTACGTCCGCCGGACTGGATGCAGTGTCACTTTACGGTAGCGAACTAACAATAACTTCCTGTATGTGTGTCTTGTGCTTTACATGATACTCGCACGTACTCCGGCACAACTCGGCCGATGCTACCACTGACAGTCTCGATGAGAGTGCAGTACCTGCAGTAAAGCGCTTACTGACTGATGACACGGACGCTCCCCTACCCACTCAGTTGTACAGATGTAGAGATGCTAATGAAGCTGAAGTCGCCCCCTACGTCCCGCAAGCTCGTCCAGTGGGTGCAGCGGTGCAGCGCGGACAGGTCAGCGCGCGGCGAGGCGAGGTGGCGGACAGCGCGGCGACAAGTGTCGGCGTCCGGCCGCCGCTCATTACCCGCGCGTGCGCATACCTTCGCGCCCACGTCCACGCTTGCAGGACTCTCAGATTACGCACACCCTATTATTGTCTTACATAATTAATTGAACGCTTCCTCCGTTACGGCAATGTCCTTTTTATTATTACAGTTTCGTCTTTCTAAAGACGCATACGAAGCCAAAGCAAAAGTCAAGCGCTAGTGCAGTGCTTACAATGTCGCCTATCGATTACAACTTGATTTTAAATGCGGGAAACTGGCTAACTATACTGCTGGTACATAGCAATATTTAAAATTATACAACAATTAGATAACTTTAATCAAAAGCATTAAGTATCTGTAACGTAATATTTTTGATTATAAACCACTTCAGGTATAAAACCTACGCCTCGGTTACTCAAGATACGGTATAAAACAATAAGACAGTTTTAAAATAAAATAAAATCATGACATCTGAGTTCCGCATCATCACTTTGTTAACGACATTAACAAACAAGAACACTTGATGAGGAATACAGCGTGTTATGTTTGTTGCCGGTGTTGCAGTATGGATCCAAGTCAATTTAACGCAGCAATTTAACTTAGTATAGAGTAGGTATCGGAATCGTAACACATCGCTATGTATCATGAAATTTGAAATGGTGTAGTCACACAATTTTGAATATGTAGTAACTTTTATAGACTAAAGCGGACAGTATCAGGTCCGATTACCTTAGTTTATCAAATCAATCGTCCAGAGTCTCAATCTATGAGCTCGATGACAGACAGGCGTGAAGTTATGTATGTATGAACGACGTACATAACATATCAGTTTTTTTTTAATAATTTGAAGCTAGGGAAAATGAGACAAAATAATGCAGATGCAATTTTTTTATTCAGTCATATCATATAAATATTAAACTATGCACGTATTGGTATATCTTGACTAGACTCGTTCGTTTGAAACATATAAATATATGAGTTCGCAGCAGTCGTGCGACACTCGCACTCGTATCATGAATAGATGACATCTCACTGAGTAAGGCTAACAGACCTATAACTTTGTAATACAAAAATATCATTATACAAATATACTAAAACGAAGACTACTTCACCACCTCAGCAATGAGCTAGTAACAAGCAATCTAGCTTGGAACTCAGATGATAAAGTAGCCCCCAACACGAGTAACTGTATAGTTATTTATTTCTGAGATATAAACATTAATGTTTGTTATAACACAACTCCGTAGTTACACACACATAGGTTAAAGTTTATCATCGTTCGTTTCAAAGCCAGAGTAATTACTTACAATATATTAAAGTACGGAGTAACTCCTGTCTGAGGCTCGTTATAAAAATACATGAACTAATTCGATAAACAGGTCAACTCTCATAGCTATTACAAAAATAATGTCCTTTATATCTTGTGTACATGTTCTCTGTTGAAACATTGTCGTGAAGATCACATTCTTTATAAAATACGTCCAGTAACAGCATTACACGCGCGGCACCATCTCACTGTGTTACTGGCTGAGATTACAATACTTATGGAATAATCTTAAACTAAGTAGTGACTAGATATTGTTGCTCGAGTATTTAGTTCGCTTGTAATTAAATAAATAAATAATAAACGCATGCGGTTGCCAACATTACAATCCTCGTTCATCGATTACAATCTACACCGTAGCAGTCTTGTATTATTTGGAATGTTTTGGGAAAACAACTTAAGAACTAAGTATTAGGTACAGTGTCAGCTTCCAATCAGTTATACATATCACTGTGTATAAGTACTTATAATAAAGTAAACCTTGTTCCACAATGTTTGCCAATTGTCATAAAAGCTTATTTTTTTAGGTGAAGCAAGAATGTAGACAGAGAAACATTGATGATATGTGTAGCGTGCTCTCTGTTGCACACAGTGTTGTATTATATATAACACGTTGTTGTATGATCAATGTTAAATAATAATTATTAAAGTGGTTGATAATATCTACCTGTGGTCGACTAGCCCATTTGTCACATCAAACGTCTTGTACTATTCGTGAATTAATCTTCTTTAATCATCATCATCATCAACAACAACCGCTAAGTACCCACTGCCGACCGAAGGCTCTTCATTGCATTGCTCTTCTCACGCGGAGAAGGTTTGAGCATTAATCACCACGCTTACTCAATGCGGGTTGGCGTTTTCAAACTTGGATGTTTCCTCTGACCGTTTGTCAGTGATGTCTAAATAATTCTAGAAAGTAGATATACCTCGGAAAAAGTTACATTGGTATTTTGCCGTTGGCAGGTTTGGAATCCGAGCCCTCATGAATGATAAGCGGGCTTCTTAAAACTCCGACCCACCACGACATTCTTTGTCAAAAAAATCGTCCTGTACAGTTCTTAAATTATTCATTATATGTACATTATAAGGTAAATTATGTAAGTATACATAGAAACATGTAATTCTCAATAATATCCTGTCCTACTATATAGGGCCCAGCAACATATATGCGGCCTCTCCAAATATTCTTCCTGTTATATCTTAATTGTTTTGTTATAAGGAAATATAAACGAGGAAGAAACAAATTAATTAAACAATTAGTTTGACTTGTGTACCGGATTGAATGAACCGATACTTGCATGCTACTTGTCGGGCCCGGGCCGTTCTAACGCGCATGTTCCTTCTTTAATACAATTTCAGATAATGTTTGCATCAACGTTTTTAGATGTTAAAACGTGTCTGGGCGTCAGAGGTCAATGATTTCTAATGAAATAAAGTGTTCAGATTACATATTAGTTAAACACATAGAGGATGACGTCTGTCAGATTGAATATAAACAAACGAAAATCACTTTTATCTAACTAATAACATATCATAAGTTCCTGTACCCCAACAGTGACGTAGAACTGTTTCGACCACAGGTGTAGCGCGCAAGCTTACTAGTAATATCAATGATCACATCACGACACCGAAATATTCGTAACTTCACGCCGCGATTGTAAGGCAACGCTCATACCCTCACGCCACCGTCGCGCCACCGTCACTGGCAGACATACACTTGTATTTGTTAGTCTCCACACTATCACTTCACATTACAGTCGTGACACGGAAGCCCCGGAACTCAACATCTCTTTTGGAAGAACAATGTGGATTGTGAACGTCGGTAACTTTACCGACTGATCATTCAATAAATTATAATTATTATGTTGGCAATATTCACACCAAAAACTCGTTTCAAAAGGAATGCAACACATTGTAATAAGAGGAAAGGGGCAGTAGAAAAGTTTATCCCAGAAACAGTGAAGTGGTACTTCACTTATCGATAACATGGCTCGACTACTCACTAATCGATCAATCGGTAACAATAACTTTAGAATGGTATTCCGCAAGTGAATATCTGACAACTAAATATCGATTAACCCAAGAAGCTTAGGGTCTCAGTGTGCTGTGTGGTGAAATTAAAATCTTTTACAAACTGTGTGTTACTAGGCACTTTAGCTGAGAGCAAGTTTTTGGAAGGAATATTGTCAACATCTGGCAACTGGTAGGTACTGGTAACATAAGTACCACTGGACAAAATCAATTGGAGCATGTTGACTTATAGATAAGTGGAACGATGTCGATGTTTGTGCGTTAGTCCGCTGGGCGGCGTGGTGTCGGCGCGCTCAGAACGTCAGCACCGGCTCCTCGCGGTGGTCCAGGATGTCTGGAACCAACCACACACCATCCGTTACATACTTCATCTCTCTCGCAGTGTCTGGAGAATATCAAGATAGCATGGTACAGTCCTACCTTTGGCGATGGTCCACCACGGCAGCGTGACGTACGTGAGGTACGCGTTGAGCGGCGTGGACTGCTGGCGCTTGCCTTCCTTCCACAGGTGGAACGTCTGCGTGAACCCACGCATCGCCCACAGCGGGTTGTACGCGCCGTCGTCCAGCTCTGTGGACACGACACTCGCCATTACTGCACTGTAGTCATAGTCATCGTACAGAACTAAGCTGAATGTTTGGTGGCTGTTACATTACGGATAGTAATATGTCATGAGCAAGGGGTGCGGTACATTTCGAAATGTTTCTCATGGTAATGGTATTACATAGTATATGTGAGGCGCGTATGATAGCATTCCACAACAATATCACGTCTTGTCATCTGGACGGATATACGAGCGGGGCGAGGGCAGTGGGCCGCGCGCGGGACTTGATGTAATTACAGCTCATTTCACAAATACAGATTTAATGTAATCAGCGTTTTTATACAGATTCGCGATATAGTAGTGGGACAGTGGACAGTGTCAGTGTGTAACTGTGCAGGGCGCAGTACCAGAGAGGTGTCGGCGCGGCACGTCGCACCAGTAGTACACGGCCGTGCCGTCCGGCGTCGTGCGGCGCGGCGGCAGCGCGGCCGTGGGGGGGCGCGGGGCCGCCGGCCCGGCCGGGGCTGCCTGGGCCGCCGGGGCCGCCGGGGCCGCCGGGGCCGACACCTCGTGCAGGCACGCCGGCGTGGACAGGTCGCAGTCCGCGCGCCCGCACACGGCCCGCATGGCGGCGGCGTCGCTCGGGGAGCTCGGGGAGCTCGCCTCGCTCGGCCGGGCCGGCTCGGCCGCGTCCATCGCCCGGCGCCGCACGGCCGCGACACTGGCGCGCCGGCCCCGCCCCACCCCGCGCCCCCCGCGCCCTCTGCCTATACACAACACACCCGGGTCACTACTACTGTTCACTTCGCCCGGTCTAAGTACTAATCCTACGCTGTGCTACTTATTGCCACCGTTCTTGTATATCGTGCTCACTCACACACATACATATGGTATAACATAGAACGGCCGACTTGCACACAAACTCAAGGCACTAACCAACCCATAGACCACTGACGAGGTGAACAAACACAAGTCCCCCACACGACCACCTCAAGCGACTACAGCCGACACCTGCTTCACTACGCGACACTATGCGCCCGCGGCCCCGCGATACATGCCACTACCCGCGACACATGCCACTACCCCCGACGCATGTCACTACCCGCGACACATGTCACTACCCGCGACACATGTCACTACCCGCGACGCATGGCACTACCCGCGACACATGTCAGTACCCGCGACACATGCCTCCCGCGCTACATGCCATGCGGTGACAACAAGCTGTGGAGGCGACAACAAGCGACATACAAAGCTGCAGCATCACTACTAGGCCACGAACAAGTCACGTGTCGTACATGCACAGAATATTTAGGTATAGTGTCTTGATAAGTTTATTGATCATACGTGTCGATACTGGTCATACCCAAATGGACCGATGTCCGAGAACTTACAACGAGTCTCAATGTCACAATAATCTACACAATCAAGTCCACTAGGGGCCTCATTGGAATCGACAGCATTCCAATTGAGAGTTATTCATGTAAATATATTACCAAGTGCGAACGTTCAGCAAAGTCATTGACTAAATAACATGTTATTTCATTAGGGCACAAGTACTATAGATAGTGTATTATTTATCTGACCAGACGAGACCAAGACCGGATATGCAATGATATCCGGTCTTGGTCTCGTCTCGGAATACGTTTTAGTCTAATTGAAATAAGTTACATATTTGACTTTAAAATGACTTCGTTCTTGTGCAACATCTCGATGGACTAATTGCGTAAGAAAACTCAAACAACTATCTTTCTCTAATCTTTTCTCTCCAATTTGTTTTATGAATGAAACCACTTCAAAAGATTTCTAAAAAATTGCGTTTCTTAATGTTTAATATCAACTGTCACTATAATGATGTGTGTAGTGTAAGTAGCAGTTGGGTGGCACGTACCGTCGCGCAGGTCCCCGGCCTCCACCTCGGCGATGCCGTTGACGAGGGAGTCGAGTCCCTCGTTCTCGGAGCGGCTCTTGTCGCGCGAGTCCCGCGTGCGCCAGCCGCCGCGCACGAAGTTGTTGATGTTGGCGCTCGGGTCGCTCAGTCGGCGCTGGAACACCACGCCACACGCCTTAACATCATACACTTCCACAAACGAAGGGTCCTATCGAAGCTGTATTAGATACGGACCTGATGTCTATACATAAACATCTCCTCGGGGTCGTCGTCCCAGTCGCTGTCCCACATGTCGGTGGCGGACAGGCCGGGCTCGGAGGTGGGTGTATCAAGCCCGGCGGCCCGTGGCCTGGACACCGCCATTTCGGCGTGTCCCTTGCCGCTGGGCCCCTTCATCCGCACGAACTCACACCGCGCCGCCGCCTTCCCTCCCAGCAGCCCGAAAGACATGCGCTGCGCCACTTTCGTGGATAGCGACGTTTGCTGGAAATTGTTATTGACAACGTGAATTAAAACACCAGATTAAGAATAAAAGAGCAGAACAAGAGCCGCAAAACTATTGTTGATGCGGTAATGGGTTGTCGACAAGCAGAACTTTCATTCTATAACTCTTCATTCGCTAGTAGACAACACTAACTGCATTCACTTTTCATAAAAAATGAAAATTGTGCGTACAGTCGTTCAGGGCATATGAAAAGCCTGCTATTCATTGTAGCGTAACAATGGGCTTTGTCGAGTAGCAGTGCAGGCGTTTTGTGGGAACTTCATTGTTTATTTTTAAACGCAGACAGCGAGCGCGCGTACAGCGTGTGTTGTGTAAACACACGGCACGCGCCGCTCCACTGCCGCTCACTGCCGCGCGCCGCTCCGGGCTACGGCGTGTTAACCCAGGTTGTGGACATGCCAAGTTTCATTTAGATCGGTTCTTTTATTTTTATGTTGAAATGTCACTCATGTGAACTTCCGCATTGAAAATAATAGTTCGAATAATGGCAAAACTATCAAGAAATAGACTCGGACCAAACTGAAATTATTGAGACAGTCTCTTGTACACAATAATAATTAGTCGATCAATCAAATTAGTCAATGAATTTAAATGAATTAGGATGCCCGCAGCTCAATGTGTACGTGACAACGCGGTGGGTTTGAGTCAAGGAGTATAACAGTTCCCTTCGTCCAATCTAGGAGAAAGGACTGGGAAAATATATGAGTATTAAAGACTATATGAACTAGTGGTAAGCTAGAGCACAGTTACTTGATGGCCCACAACTGCCAACCGGTCGAGAGACTGAATCACCTCGGTGGGCGGAGGCCTCGGCGCCGCTGGGTTATACCAGTGCGCAGTGATACTAGTCTATTAAAAGATACGCGACTCGACTGAAACATTCCTGTCGCAGATTTCATCTTAACACCAATCGTGGTGACTCACAATAACAACTTAGTGAATACTCAGACAAATTTAATGTTAATATCAACATAAGTATCAGTCGGTACCAAGAAATGTTGACCACGGACTATAGTACTCGGGACTTTGCCCTTTAGCGACCAGTCAGTAACGTGAATCACACTGGCCTACACAGTGCAGACGTTTGAAAGCGAACCCTTAGTGAAAGACGGTCGGTTGTCGACCCCGCGGCTCACAGCCCGCACCCGCACCTGCTGCCAACGTACCATTGTTCCCACTCGCGACTCACGACCATGATTCATCACAAAAGTACTGCTTTACAAGGAAGCCGTTAGTACACTGTAATTCCAATATTACCTACCCACTTCTATTTATAAAAATCGATAGCAAAAACGGTTTACCTATGTAAACGAGTCGCAATGAATAATAAAGTAACAGAAACCAGTTTCCGGCGGCTAGCACTTCAGGGTCCTCTACATAATGAGAGTTGTATTTTTTCCCACAGTAAGTAGTCATTATTGTCGGCGCGCTAAACTAAAGTGTCAAACCACCGGTACTTGGAGAAGTACTTGAAACTAATTAACAGGGCTACCGATTACTTCAACGCAAGTGCTATAACTAAACTCGAGTGCTAGGAGCATTTAAATAAGTGGTTATATTATAGGTAATGGGGAATTTGGGCAGTTGTAGGAACCATTCATATCTTAAGTAGTTAATGTAGTAGCACAGCATGGACTGGTGCATAACAAGTAAATGCCAGGACAGGGGCTTCCACAAAGTACTAGTTGTTATAATTAATTTCACCGCCGCCGTGTTGGAAGGACAACCAGCAGATTTAAGTGGGGCAGGCGAGGAAGCGCGACATCGCGTCGCCAAGCTATATTTTCTTAATTAACTAGTTTTACTGCTATTCTCATCTATAAAATAAAATTGCATCGTACAGTACTGAAGACATCAAACTTAACAAAAATATCCCATAAATCAGGTTCTAATTGGATTTAATTTGGCATTGCAAGTTTTTATCTTTTATACGTATACTTAGAAAAGCATGTATGAAGACACGATATGTAGGGTGTGGGCAGTACGTATGTATGTAGCTGGGAAGCTGCGAGGTGGGTCCGGGGCGGGTGTGGGAATGAGATCACGCGACGCGTGCACTGATGTCAGCATCCATCGCGCCAGGAGTCAGCCTCGAGGGGTGGTGGCGCCACACGCGACCCCTACGTCACACTCACTCCCTCCGGTAGGGTTACATTCTAAAGAAACTACAAACTAAATCAAACATTTTTTAAAATAAGACATGGACAAAATATTTATATGGTAAAAATACTCGTGCGAATAAGCAGCCTCAGAAACCTCATGATCAAAATAATGGGCGGAAATTATTCCTTATATCTTACTTCCTTTCTGAAGACTTAGCCACGTCATGCAAGCCAGCCCTACACCCAGTGGGTGGAAGGGAGGCAGCGTGACGTCACTCACGGCTACAGGCTGCCAGCCTGTTTGATCAGCACAGACGCTGATCAATTAGTCTGCTATTATTCAGGCCTTGTTTATTTAACGACACTGCCCGACTTCACTGAGGCCGTCCCTCCTAATTGATTATATTTTTATATAAATACCGACTGACAAGCGACGTATACTGTTCGTCTATAAAACGTATCTAAAAAAAAGCGTATTGTAAATTTGTCTTGTCTCTTTTTGTCTTCTCTTTATTTCGTTTAATGCATTTAATGGGGTAGACGACTAATTTTTATTTTAATGTCCGTCTGGTAGATTATTTAAAAACATTAGACACGTATTTTTTATTTTCTTACGGAAACGAATAGTTTCGAAGATATATTGATTTGAAATGTCGCGTGACGTCACTTCTCAGTACATTTTATACTGAGAAATGACGTTTTAGCCCCCACTCCTAAACTTTGATTCGTTTTATCTAAGTGTTTTATTATACGACAAAATAAAAAAATACGTGTCTAATATTTTTTAATTACCTAACTTACGGACTAATTAGATTTTTAATTTTCATACCCTGTCATCATCCCCATTGTATCCTATGCAAAAAGTTCCATAGCGTTTTATTTATCTCAGTTTGATATTTTTTTCCATTTTTACAGTAAATTATATTACTGTCGTGCCGTCTGGTAATAAACTGCTGTGGAGTTTAATTGTTTATTGAGGGAAGTTGTTCATGTAGATTGAAAACAATATAGGCTCTAAAATACAGTTCTGTACTGGAAGTCTGTTATTAATGTAATTATTTTATTTCCACAATATTATTTAATTGTATTTTATTTATTCCTACGAAATGTTTAACAATATTATAAGCTTTTCTTAGATCTATGATCATCATCCATCATCCATCATCCATGACAATTACCTTAGATAATTACTTTAAATTAAGTTCTATTTACGACTGATAAATAGATACACATATATCTTACGTACAGATCTCCACGCCTATCACCGCCTGTGTCCCGTTAGGGTAAGCAAAGACAATGGACCATCAAATGAATAGGTACGTCTTTTTCTGAATCAAAATATTGTTTTACAAATATCTAAATAATCGTAGTTCAGTAATACGCGTGACGTGAGCAATTCAATGAACAGTTACCGGTGACGCCAACATAGACGCGTCTGGACACTGGACACTGTGGACACCCATCCGCTCCTAAACGACTGTAACGGTCTTTATTGTACACAAATTGCAACCGACGCGACGACGCGATACTTCGCTCTTAATCAAGATAACTTCACTACGCCTGCGTTTGGTGGATTTTTATCATTCATTACACTTTATCTGTTCTGTGATTTTGATAATACATCCGTGTCACAAGTTCCCAAACATGGCACGTATGATAAGTGATAATAGGGGAGTGCTATATGAGATGTATTCTGTGGCAGCGATAAGGGTCCAAGGCCGGCGCCTCGAGACGTCGCGGCTGGCGCGCCACTGGCGGCGGTTGCGCCCCATAATCCCGTCTGGCGGCTCGTAAACCCAGCCCCGTGACGATCCGCGTCATTTTACAAACCAAATGCTATAAAATATTTCATTCAATCGATCAAATGCAGCAAACATCAAACTCAGGAATCGTTATCTAGGGAACTTCCGAATTCGTATACCTACATTAATATCTAAATTAGGTACCTATTTATATTTATGACGATTGACAGTTATCGGATAATGTAATTAAACGATAACTACCGATTTGTAAAAACTAAACAGATAAACACATATTGACCATTGAAAGACTTGACTTAACGCAGATTGTTATCTGAGACCAAATCTTTAAGAGGTCAAAAATATATGCACATGACGCATGTTAGCAGTCAAACATGGAGAATAAATGACAACATTTCCGTGTAACAAGAATATCATAAAACTGCGTGACCTTCGTAAAGTCATTACTCATTCCAGCCAACTACACGACATAATGTCCTAGGTTTCACGACACGAAAACTTAGGCTTGCCTCGATACAACTCAACAGGTACTTGAATTCGGGACTGAGCTTCTATCGTCGGATACGCCATCACACTGTCTATCTACAATAATCTCGAACATTCGGAACGCCCCGAATACTTTGATTGATTGATAGCGTGCCGTCACTGTGTATTTTTTCCGCGATTGCATTTACATATCTAATTAATTAAGTTCGTTATGGTTGTGGGACAAATCTGTAACAATATAACAACACATAGGTATTTTCTCTAAAGGGAATCTCCCTTGTTTGTCAACCAACTAGATATAATCGTACAATTAAAAAATAATTATCTAAGTAATGTATTTACAAGTACATCCTATTCGCGTGAAATTTCGCACACTACAATGAGGCATGACCACGTGTGTGACAACGTTTTATGTACGAATCGCATAAAGCCGGAGCTACTTCGAAGATATTATCTCAGTATTGTAGAAACAATAAAGTATTTGGATAAGGCAAATACATCATTTTTCCATTACGCAATAAGGCAGTTTATCGACGTAAAGGATTCGCCCGAACTGCCCGAAGGTCACCGGCAGCGGGTACAGCCGACCGTGTCCACTTGTTGGGCTTCCTCCCATCATTACGTACACGAGCACTGATCACTATCGAAAATATTTTAATTGATTCAATATTAACGGGAATCGCGCTCGTGCAAACCAGACAATTAATTGTGTAATGGATACCTAAATGGTAATTATTTATTGTATTTCATGTTTATAGCTCAGTGGCGTGCCAACGGAGAGCCAATCTGTCCAGCCATGGACGCAACCGAGCTAATGATCATAGAGTCTCTAGAAAATGACTTGTATTTGAATAGAAGATAAAAGAAGAATAAATAATCTTACTCGGCAGAATGTCACTTCTGCCACGTGTCCTTTGTGGGCGTTTTGTTAAAATAAAACATATTTTCGTAATATATATCCGCTTCACACACATATCAGAGTACGATTAATGATATTACTCAACAAGCTTCAAAGCAAACTGCGTCATGTATTAATTCAAACTGGTCACCGAACCAATGTTAGCCTTCACGACAACAATTTAAAATTAATGAAGTATAGTACGCATAAATAGAAGCTATTCAATGTAGACTTGATAGCTGGTTCCTGAATGAGAGCCTGGCCGGCCGGTAGTGTCACGATAACACGAGTGACGTCAGCAGCATCCAATATCCGATTATTCCAACTTCCAAGGTACTAGATAACAGCTATCAACCAAGTCTCATATCGCTACGAAATATTTTGCAGATTTTTATGTTTTTGCCAGTGAATAGCAACTTTTGTATCCACTACATAAAGTGACTTTGAGACAAGCAATAATTACAGAAGAACAAGGTATAAAAACTACGCATACCGACATTATAGATAATTAAGATTCTTGTGTCGTGTCGACATCGATATAAGTGTGGGCTAACCATCTCGTAATCAATTTAATATAAACATCTGTTTACGATGTCTACGATACTGACACAATATTCCGAATTTATCTGGTACCGCCCTGGTGCCTGGCGAGATACGTGATCATATCAGATGTCACCACTCTATTCTCCCATGTGGGTTTATTGTCAACTCTAATTAGAGTAACGAACCGTCGATACTTTGAGAGAAATAGGGGCATGTAGGTAATCTCTTGCTGACTATTGGACTCCTTCTATATGTAAGTTTTAATTTATTAGGGTATTATTTGTGTCCCCTCAATGTACGGGGAACACCCCATTACATCCGAATCCGACCTCTAAACCGAGTGCTCATACAATGTGGAACGTGGTATTAAGTAATTAACTCAAGTCAAGCCACTGAACTTTTCAAATGTTAGGAGCACAAGTTAGTCGGTAGCTTCATTAGTATTGACGTGGCAGGGCCGGGAACGGGGGCAACCCGGCGTCGGACCGGGAGCCGCACTAAATAACCCGTATCCGGCAATTAACGGCCGTGTCACTTGTTGCTGCGGTGGCGGCCGGTTCCTAACTCATAATACATTGCCCATTCTACTTACTCACTGCTCACTTCAATCAAATTATTGGCTATACATGACCAGGTTAAAGGCAGACATGTTGTGTCTAGACATACGTTATGTAGGCAACCGTTTAAAACGCAATGTTGTTCAACTTACCCATAATTATTTGATTTTGATAACTTATCAATTCGATGGTAACATAAATATTTATTTACGTTCACTTTAAAACGACAGGAACCAATCGATTATATTGTAATAAATGATAAAGGCTCTCAAACAATTGGACATTATTCGATATGGCAATAATATAAGTTTAGCAAATATTTCAAGTATCGAGATATACTACTAGACTATTGTTGAGTGTGTCTGTGGACTTACCCTGGAGTCGTAGACCCTGGTGAGTATGTCGTAGCGGATGGAGCCGAGGAATATGACAGCCTGGGGCGCGCAGCCGCGGCCTCGCGCAACCAGCTCCACGCACACCATCTCCCCGTCACGTACCACTATGTCGCAGAACACCTGCACACACACAACACACCCATCATATATCTACTACTACTGCTAGTGCATCAATGAACTTAGGAATTAATATAACATAACATCACGTCTTTTTATCTCCGAAGAGGTAGGCAGAGGTGCAAATTACGGCACTTTGCCACTGTACAATGTAACACCCATTTTTCACTATTTAAGTATGTCATAAGTCGCATGTAATAGGGGGTGAGCCTATTAACATATTCCGGGCACAATTCCAAACTCCGTGCGACTACTGAGATTTTGTTTTTTAAACCCATTAGAACTTTGCTCGACCCGGGAATGGCCCTTGACCGGCAGTCGTACTTGCGACCACTCGGCCAACGAGGCAGGAAGAATTAATATAAATACACTACAAAATTATTTGTTAAACGAATAGGGAAGTACTTAAAAAATGTATATAAGGAAATAGTAGACAATAACAATGTACGCCTACGGAAACAATATAAACTAATTGCTGATTTTGAACATTGAGATTTCAGAGCAATCGTAGTCGAGTCCTCGCTTAATTAAGAACCAATTTAATTACGTAAGTACGCGTTACACGACCGACTACTGCTGTAGTAACTCACATGTAAAGTGTGCTCACATACACACTAACGTATACATTAGGTAATACTCCGCGTCAACGACGACGGACGACTAACTACAACGATAATTAACAGTTGATTGTTACTTTATAAGAAAATAATACAGTGTTCGATAATTATTCTACAGTGTATGTTGAAAAAACATCTCTGTTTGAGCTATGATTTGTATCGAACAGGAGGAACCTTCGAAAAACCTTAAAAAAGATGCTATGAGCTGAAACTGTCACTCTCGTCCTCTACTATCTTGTTGTAGTTTAACTTATCTTAAGCTGATCTTAACATTGTTTATTGCTAATTTATCATTTTTGCGGTACACACAGATACAGGTATTTCCCCATTTCTGTAGAAATTAACACATTTAAATTATGAATACGCGAATTTAAATTATGAATACGCGCCCCGTTTAGTATTAGGATGTTATCTACGCCATCATAAAGTACTTCTACTAATAACTGAATAATCTAGTGCTGGGCTACCTCTCCCAAATGTTTCAGCTGTAAGTGTCCATGAAGACAGGGCGGCGTTCGTTCACAGCTGACTTACTAAGCATTACGTAATGCACTGGTAACTTAACTAGTACCGTTCACTTCAAACAACACAATAATGAACCGAAGTGGAAATGTAATTAAGTTGTTAGTTTAATGAGATGTCGCTACTGAAGGCATTTCATTTAAATAACCATGCTAATCAGCTTCCATCTTGGACAACTGTATTGCCTTAGCGTACCTTCTATAAAATTATAAGCTATGTATCTATAGCAGCCATGATGTCATCACTTCCAGAAGTTGAGATGTTTACGAAAGATGATCGCTCATAATATGTATTTGAAATATGTTGTGCTACAAATTGTATTTGCATAGATAATTTTATTGTGAAACAACTGAACGACCATGTGCAAAAAGACTAGAAAAATATGTAACAAAAGGTATATTAGCATTTTTGCGACTCAGAAACGCATTACGTAAGTGTCGTTAGCTTTGACTCAAGCAATGTATACCTAATATTAGTCAGCGAGTCACAAACAGGTGTAAAAAGTATTTTAAGTTAATATAAAAACAATTATACAGGCTGCATCACCTTGGTGTGCGCCTTCAGTCTGTTCGAATTTTAAACAATATAACAAAGGAGCAGTCGCTAACTACAGATGATATTGTTGTTTTCTTGACGACTTACCGCACGAATAGCCACCATAGTGGATAGTAGATAACAACGAAGTTAATTCTAGAAAATTCACTAGCGCTGTACAATACCTGGCTCAAAGTCAAATCATTTATTTCAATTACACCAATATAAGCCATTTTTGAACAAGCTTACTGAAGGTAAGTAAATAAATAGAAAGACACATTCATACACGCAATCACTTTAGCAGATGAACAACAAAGTGCCGCAGGTATGCAGCTACAGGCATGCAATGAAGTGTAACCATCTCAGTCTGTCGCTGAGAGCTGCGAGTGCGACCTAAAACGATTGTGTACTCAGGTGGGCAGCCGTCACAGCAGTGCTCACTGACAGTGACTAAGCAACTTATGTTTAATCACATTGTATACTGAAATGATCAACCAATTTTACAATTCCTTTACTTTATTTGGAATATAATTAAACAAACAATTGTAAAGCTTATTTAAGTGGTAGGTAAGGTACCAAATCACATAAATAACTTTGTGTATCGGCTTTTTGCTAAATTGGCGATGCGCACAATATTAACTGATAAAACCAGGAAAATATCTCCTAGTACTACGCATGTATAAATATTTCCTCATGCCTGAAATATTTTTATTCCGGCAGCGAAAATACAATACGTATTTAATGGATGGATGGTTTTCATATAATACCTTAATTACATATTTTTTCAGCTGTTTTACTTAATTAGATGAACTAACTAAGTAACTACGCTCATTTCCAACTTTATCATGTTTCCAGTAATGAGTCATTTGATCCCATTAGTCATATCGAAGTTATTTGTGTGGTCGCTTCGCATTATTTATAATTAACATATTTATACTATTTCAATATTCTAGTTCAAAACTTGTGATCATCAATCTTATTCAATACCATTTAGTACGATTTGGTTATTCGACTTCAATACGGGAGGTCGTGAGATAAATCTAGTTCCACAGAGTAACAATATGTACGAGTAGTGGTCGTGGCAATCAATGAGCTGCATGTAGGTCACCAGATAGATCACATGTCTATAACACAACCGATAAAACTCGAGGAGATACAATTTTGAGGAATGACGACAACATCTAATAAAGGTCAATAAAGTCACTACATCCCAAGTAAAGAGTGCCGTCATTTAAAAACAAATATCAATACTCTACGCTCTTACTCAAATATCTAGTTTTAGCAGAAATAGAACTAGCGATGCGATTCGAAATGTTATTAGATAAACCATTGAAGAAATATGCAGTAGGAATAGTACTGTACTGTGTGCAAAATTGTATCGCAGTTTGTGCAAAATGGGTTAATCTATTAAAGTCAGATAGCACGGTGGAACGCTGGCAATGTATTTACAAAGCTAGGATATGCATCAACAGTGGTGCTATTCATGCGCTGGTCTGTTCATTGTACGGGAGATGTATGCACTGTCTGTTCACTTACATCGCGATTGTTGTCCCATTTAGTCACTTGGCATTTACGTGCACTTTACTATACCTCTACTTTAACGTTCGAATCTGTATAAATTAAATATCTGTGGTATTCCTTTAGCATCAATATCAACATAATACCAAAGATATTGGTAGGTACCTATTTGTGTTAAGAGGAATAAAATTAAGTCTGTGGGCTCTGTGGTGTGATGGTTGAAATGAAACCGCAGAAAGGTACCTCCAACATGCATGTGTGTTTAGTTGTTTGTGTTGTATTGCAGCAGCTCTGCAGCTCGCGGGGCAAGTCGTGAGAACGTAACACTACACCGCGTACCGGTGCACACGCACCGAGCACTGGTCTATCTAGCCACCCGCGCCCGGCCAAGGACTGCGCCTGCGCACACCGTTAACTCATTATCCTTACACCTTACATTTACATAAATAATACTGATAATCGTGTAGCAACATAAGAGCATCCCTCAGAAAAAGTTTACGGCAAATATTTTTGCGGATTTACATACTTATTTACTGTACTTTCTCTGCAACAAGACAATGATTGCGTGTTTCGGCTGGACGTCTCCTTCGCGTGCTCGCAGACATAAGGCACCTAAAGATGATAATCTCACATCTACGGCTAAACAACACGTTTACAAGTTATCCAAGTATCTTATTACACTCGATACGATCGTGTCAACGTGAAGCTAGTTATATTGTCGTCGAGAACAATAAACGCATGATGTTATATTGATCGCCACCCACTTTATCTACAAATGTATTTTACTTGCCAACAGAAGCGCAGCCGGAAAGATATCGACGAAAGAAAGTGGTCAGTAGCATAGTTTTCCGTAATCCATATACTTTACGGAACAGTTTGAGTGCAAACGCACTGCTACTGGCTTTGTACTGGCTAGTGGCTATAGCTACTGTACTTTGCCAACAAAGAGGCCTCTACGTGCTAGTTCGAAGTGAGTACGCACTGCTTCATTAACATGCTACTCATGCTGTAGAGCAACACTTCGTCGGGTATAAGGCCAGGGATACTACCAGTCTAGTTGAACTAGTAGATGACGTTAGAGGCAGGGCTTTCCAGTATAAGACAAAACGTGTGACGTGATCGATAACCGGGTCACGCAGTGCACTAGCCCGATTTAATTAGCTATCGGTTCGCTCGCTCTCTTCCGAGCATCGCGTTCGTATACTGTTGCACAGATTACCCAGATCAATACGATACAAACAATACAGCTATAAACGCTTATGTTGCGCTTCGGTTGTTCTATTTCCATTACAAAACTAACACGTGTTTCATGTCAAAAATGCCAATCATAGCATGTTATATTGTGAACAAATAGACGATTTAGTTACGATGATCCGTAGATATAACTGTAGCTATAACACAAGCAAGAGAAGTGTATTCTCTCTAACTAAATGTTGCCAACTATTATCTGGAAAATGTTGGCACTGCATCTGAATGTACCTACAATTTTATGTTACCATGAATCTTGTCGGGGTTTGGCCAAGTTTTCGATAGTGAATGTGGTGACGTCACTAAAAGTTTGGTATGATTCACCGGCGCTTGCAGATGATTAATACGATCTTTGTACAGTAAACACGCATTAGTGACGTAATGGCGTGCTCTTCTGTGAATACATGAATCAATGTTATTGTTTTTAATTCGTATTTTCATTCCGTCAATAAATTTAGTGATGTAATTCGTCACAAATTCCGCTATAATGATAGTTAAACATGGCATTATGTGCTATTTATACGACATCAATTAATTGTCGTTTACAAGTATTTTACTAAATATATTCCTCTCGTTACAACTCAGGTGAAGTGCTTCTACTTCCAAAAATAATTCCGACTTAAAACGCAGGCCCCTCAAGCGCGATGGGTTGACGTAAGCTCTCTAGCCAAAAACTGATATGGACAAAACACAATTGGGCCACCTGGAGCCTTTCCAAGTGACAAGTAAGCCAGCAAGTGCAGTGAGAGCACGAACACTGAAACACTTACTTGTCATATCAGTATTAGGAACATGGATGCTCCGAAAATTACATTAATTGATTTAACAACTAGACCTTGCACGTTTGATAAGAGTATAAGTATGTATCTGATTTTTAACAAAGGAAACCAATTTCTTGGTTTACGTAGATTTATTGCAAAATGTATCGTGTGTTCCTTCGTATTGAAATGTGGCTTGTTTTATCAGAGTGTGTGTGTATATTAAAGCAGACAAGACCTTTAGTTTAGCCTTTCATTGTATAATAGTGGTGTGGGTGCTGGAAGTAGGGCAGCGTGGCGCGTCAACTCATATAAAACGATACGTGCCTGCTGACCTATTAACTGCGCAAACCCTAACGCCAATCGGATAATGTAGACAGATTCATACAATCCGAATTACTCATCATATTATCTTACAATACCGAATCAGTACCAAACTCTTCTGATATAGTGATACAAGAAAGCTGATAGACACAATATAGATACAGGTTTAACACTAAACACATGGACACGGCTGAGCACGTGACTCTCGCATCGCGGGCATGTTCTTATTGCCCTATTCATCTCGAAACAATGTTTAAATATTCAGTTGTTTATAGGTGATAACAAACACTGAGTATGAGATAATGATCGAGGCTTAATATCAGAGGACAGATATCGGATACTCTCAATTAGAGATTACTGCACCTATATGCAGTAATCTCTAGTGTGTATACTATTAATACAATGGACATTACCATGCATAACAGATATAACAGTTACTTGTAACTTTCGTGAGACATACTAAATCAATGATTATGTTTTGGCTTACTCACGTAACTGTTTGACAACTAACTCGACTAGTTGCAGCGCGTGTCGCGGAATGCTGCTCGTGAATATGAGCCTCTAGCATGGCTTGAAACTAGTCGAGTTCCTCGTCAAACAGTAGATATGATAGTTATTGCTAACATGTGCTTGATCCATAAAAAGTACATTATTAGTACAATAACTATCTCGTTACAATGTGTGGTGAACCAAAGCTCTTATTGTGCATTCATACAATTAATTATAGAGACTCCTTTTTGGAAACAACTTGGTTTTAGTAACATAAGACCCGATATCGGTCGGTATCCCTTTATTAATAGAATTGCGAACTAGGCACAACCCGACAACTTGTCTCTGATGAACACTGAACACTAGCTAGCTCATCTATTTCACCAGAGAATCTCTGACTAATTTGGAGTTCATTGTGGATAGAGACAAAACTCTTGTTTGTAAGAGCTAAACTGCGAGTTAAATACGGCATGAATGATTAGGAGCGATTAAACTCAGTGACTTGTGTAAATGAAGTGACTTGAAGGATTTATTTTTATCTTACAAAATGTATCTAGTAAGTTGTTCCACACAATATCGGAGTTGGCACCGGTGCCGCTCCTCATATCGGTCATCGAGCAATGAAAACAAACAAACCGAGCGAGAGTGCTCATGCGCAAACGCAAGGTCGCGCCCACCCTCGTGGAGACAAACTCAACCAACATCGATGCGCTGTGCACGCCCCGCGTTCTATACTAATTTTTAAAGCAATTTGATTCGGCTAATCTCTGTGCCGCACCGCGTTATTCGCTTCGTTATATTGCCATGCAGGAAGATTTTTGTATTTATTTTAGTTTTCCTGTCATCCGTAATTTAATTGTGAATAATTTGTAGGTAATATTTACTTAAAACTTTTTGTAATAGTCGTTAGTTTTCGCTACAACAATTGACTGTCATTCATCATCATCAACACACGAAGAAGGTTTGACCATTAATCACCACGCTTGCACAATGCGGGTTGGCGATTACAAACTTATAATTAGAAATTATAAGCCCAGGTTTCCTCACGATGTTTCACTTCATCGTTTGTCAGTGGTGTCTAGATATTAGAAAGTACATATAACTCGGAAAAAGTCACATTGGTTCTTGCCGTTGGTAGGTTTCGAACCCGCATCCTCATGCATGAGAAGAGGGCGTCTTAAACCTCCGGGCCACCACGACATTTACTGTCATTAGTAAAAAGTAATTCGAAGTAACATCTCGAGGTCAGTTCGAATTACTAATCTGTTACAAGTACGTAGCGAAGCAATCTGCTTGTTTTATTACAGATACAGTCATTTCTACTTGAAAAATACTTCCTGCGTGTAGTTGTATCTACCTCAATATTGCAATGGTTGTCTTGTTCTGTCTGTAGTGTCGTAGCTTCTGAATACCTCCTGCATGACGACTGAATACCTACTAACGATAAGAACTTGCTTGTAATTCATGAAATGTAAGTGTGTGTGTATTATGTTATGTTATAAATAAATTCATATTTAAGGAAAACCCACTGAATAGTGAAATTTTTGCAATCACCAAACCCAGTAATATGTTGTCCGACCTCAGGAAATCGAACTTTTAATCCCAGGAACTCGTTCTTAGCCTCGAACTTTTCTAGAAGTCAATGAAATATGACAATTACCGATCAAAACCTCAGTGAGTTTTGAGAAACGAAATGGGTTAAAAAAAACCCGACGTGACTGGAACCCCTTGCAGGGCGGCATGTCATGGCGCCACAAACGAATGTTAAGATTTTCTATCAACGTTTAGTAAAGGTTGTCGTTAATGTTCGGTTCTTTATAATAATTATGTCCCTGGGAGTCTGGGACGCACCTGAACGCATTATTTCAGTTTTCTTGGTCGGTACTTGGCACCTACTGTTGACGCTCGTTCACTGGGCTTGCCCAAAAAAAAACGTGGTGGAGTTCTGCCATGGAGTTAGTACGTCTCGGATAAACGTCTCCGACTTTTATCGCGCTGATTAGGATTGGTTTATCATGAATAATCATAATCTTCTTAATTATGATTATTTTATGACCAGTAATAAAATATTATATTTTCTCATTTGTGCAGAAAACCCGGCTTATTATCGCCTGCCTGAGTGCGTGCGCGATATGATAACATAATTATTGTAATTGTTAATGCGTACTTACAAACTAAATCAATTGCTTTCAATCTTTGAGATTGTGAGATTATAACTTAATTGATTCGGTATTAAGGACTATTTATCAAAGATGACGTGATATTACGTTTGCGAATAACAGCACACTTCCTTTTCTTTTTAATCGGTCGTCACCTGGTGATTGGCTTTCAATTTAGCCAGTCGATACTTTTACCTCCAATAGATACTCATAATATTGCTATTGTTAGGCACTTTGCTATTGTTAGGCACATTATGATGTACGTCTCTAGTCTACACAATTGTTCATGCAGCTATCGCTTCTGGAAGCTCGCAAATCTGATGAGAGGGCTTAGTACGAGTTTGATTAGCTTGCTCCAAGGAACCAATCAATCAGAGCGCTGACCGTGGTCCCATTTCAATCATTTAAACGAAAAACAACCCGTACAAGCCCTCAGATCGTCTCATAGTTGGTTAAATGTTCTGGTTGTGATACATAGTAAATAGTTGGTCGTATACTGACCTCGTCAAAGTTGTCCACCATGAAGCAGATGTGGGGGTATGTCATCTCCTCACCCTCGCCCTTAGTGTCCATCTTGCGGCGACTCGGCGACGCGTACACCTGCACCATAATGCTAGGGATATATACATTTATTAACGGATATTTCAATATTCAAACATCACGTATAATTTATAGTATATCTGAAAGTGGATATATGTATATGAAAGTTTTGGTAACAGGTTCAACTCCATCAAGATGAGGTTTAATAACCATGACTTAATACCTTATAACTATCAGTATGTAGGATCTGTTATTCATCATCATATCATCATCAAGTTATTTCAGTCTTTTAATCGACAGCCACCTGTCCTATAGTATAAGTTAGCAGTGAGCATGTTTTTAATTTAATCTTACGTGTATTATTTCCTGCAAGCAGTAATTTTCGTCGTTACACCACCATTATTCTTAACAATTCGATGTATTTGCTGATAATTACTAGATACATTGTCAACTATTATAGGTTTGCATGTATTAGATTTGTATCTAAGATTGTGACTATTAATCAAAAACAAAATACAATCGTACTGAAAGCAGTAACTAATAACTAAAGCACACATTGTTATGTCATTTACATCGCGTATCGTATACATATTAATTGCTTTACACCAGATGAATTCTGGGATGGCCGCACGCAATTATGATACCTTGACCTAATTTTATCGGTTTTCCAAAAATTGTATTTACTACTGAATGCCTAGGTATTGCGTCACATGTAGTTAGCCACAGACACGGAATCGAGGTTGACCGGAAAAAACAATTTCAATCTTTTACGTATGTTTGGATTCGTGAATTTGTAAGTGAACAAACCGCTGCAATTTCACAACAATACCGTACATAGAAAAGTCACACCCGGACACCCCTCTCCAATTTATCAACAACACAATTAATAATTTTGTTCAGCAATTTGAGTGTTTCTAAGCTAAGCCCAGCAACATAAAGAGCAAACCATCATTTTCATAACTCCAAGAAAAACGAGTCATTGTCGACCACCTACAACTTGGTCGTGGATAAAACTAAGATCGTCAAATAACCAAGCGGATATTGTACAAAAATTGTTTATTTCGAATGCCATCCATTGTGAACCAGTAGATAATTTAAAAGTTAATTATGAGTAGTCAAGTTGTTAATTTTAGCACTGGCTCTCACGACTTTTACGGTAGAAGAACATGGATAGCGATACTGGTTTGGCGTCTTTTTAACCGACTTCAAAAAAAGGAGGAGGTTCTCAATTCGACCGTATATATGCTTTTTTTTTTTTTTTTTATGTTTGTTCGCCGATATCTCCGTTGTTTATAAACCGATTTTGAAAATTCTTTTTTTGTTAGAAAGGAGATAGTTCCAGAATGGTCCCATGATAAGGAAATCAGGATCTGATGATGGAAGACCAGGGAAACCGAGGGAAACTTTTAAAAATTATAGGGGTGACTAGGGCATTTGTTAATTTTTTCATTAGGTATTAAAAACCACTACAATCTGATAAAGGTCTGGAGCCGATCTGATGATGGAGCCGAGAGCCAGTTGAGGAACTCCTCAACGGTTAACAGTAGCTACCTTGTGTTTGGGTTTGATTAATTTGTATTGATGAGGACTTTACATCTGAGTAGGGTGTAATTGTCAATAAGGGTCTGATGATGAAGTAGTACGATAGTTGAGGGAACTCCTCAACGGTTAACAGTAGCTACCTTGTGTTTGGGTTTGATTAATTTGTATTAATGAGGACTTTACACCTGAGTAGGGTGTAATTGACAAAAAGGGTCTGATGATGAAGTAGTACGATAGTTGAGGGAACTCCTCAAAGGTTAACACTAGCTACCTTGTGTTTGGGTTTGATTAATTTGTATTGATGAGGACTTTACACCTTAGTGGGGTGTAATTGTCAATAAGGGTCTGATGATGAAGTAGTACGATAGTTGAGGGAACTCCTCAACGGTTAAACAGCTAGCTACTTTGTGTTTGGGTTTGATTAATTTGTATTGATGAGTACCTTACACCTGAGTGGGGTGTAATTGTCAATAAGGGTCTGATGATGAAGTAGTACGATAGTTGAGGAAACTCCTCAACGGTTAACAGTAGCTACTTTGTGTTTGGGTTTGATTTGGGATTAATTTGTATTGATGAGGACTTTACACCTAGATGGGTGATGGTCATTAAAGGTCCAATGACGAAGTAGTATGATAGCTAAGGGACTCTTCAATGGTTAAGAGTACCCACCCGGTGTTTGAACTTGCATAATGTGTATTGATGAAAACTTTGCATCCATGTGGGTTTTGTATAATATAATATATCAAAGTACTAAACTAAAAAGTATAAAATAAAATTAAAAAACTGCGTTTAAAAAAACCGACTTCAAAAACAAATGACAAACAAAAAGTAAAAACTAAAAAGGAAAAAAAAAACTATTAGTGGTCATACGTACTTATAGCTTACACCCACTGATAGGTTAGAAGTCGGTGCCACAAACCCACAATAAAATATAAAGTAGACAAAAGTCACAGCTGGTATAATCCATAATAAAATTGTAAACAGCTCAATAATGTTAGGTATCTATTAAGGTTTTAATGAATATATATATAAATAGGTTTAAAACTTGTGGCACCGACTTCTAACCTATCAGTGGGTGTGTAAGCTATAAGTACGTATGACCACTAATAGTTTTTTTTTTCCTTTTTAGTTTTTACTTTTTACAAGACAAGTGTTTAATGAGATACAAATACAAAAAAAATACTGGCTCCGTAGGTACCAAATCAATCTTTTTTTCTTCCTGCATACCAAATAAATTGCCTTACACTATAGTACATAAAACATGGGTAAATTATCGGACATCTGATCCCTAGTAGGTACACTGTATATCGATGAATATTAAACAAACGTTTAAATAAGTATGTTAATGAAGTAAGATGTTTAGCAACGTGTTTCAAATTAGAATCATCGGCAGTAGCCGTGTTAAGGGCACCGTGTACTCGACTACTAGTACCTTACGCTTCAATCTCCTAAACTCGTTCTCAGCCGGTTTCGGATAGCCTCACCTTACATGGACATTCCTAACGGCTGTTGACGGAAACGTTGCGACATCGTTACCACATTAACTTAATACTATATACTCTGTGATACCTACAGCCACAAACGCCAATGAATACTGAAGGTAGGTAGCTGCCTGTTGACCCAAGCCCATTTTACTATTTGCACTATTATGGAACTTGACGGGTCACGTATTTATAACTGTTATTTCACTTCATTTATCTAATCTAGTCCAGATATTTCTATCAAATACGGATTTTTATAAAAAAGATCTTTACATATTTGACTGTTACGTTCAAAAAGAGGAGGATATAATATCGTCAAGAATGATGTGTAGTTAATGATCACCGATTTATCAAATTTATCTATTTAAAAACTGTTTTTCGCTACCGATAATTTCAATTCCTCCTATGGCGATTTCGTTTTTTCGATTCATAAATCTTTGTTCCTAAAATCCTTTCAAACATACAGTTTTAGAGAAACGAATGAGTAAATCAGATGGCAAGCCCTAAAGCGATGGCAATATTTCATTGATGACATTGTATAGCTGCGGCCGGCTTGTTTGTACCGGAGCGCGGCGTACCGACCGACACCGAGTGCACCCGTACCGGCCGCGTGGAGTGGGGGACTAGAACGTCTCGCTGTGACGTCACACCGCGCGTAATTGCTTCCATTGAGCCGAGCTTGCGCGAACATAGTCGACGACGCCCGAGCGCCGATGTACCGAAGCCAACCGGTGCTACATCTTTTCTAGTACGCGGTCGCCACCGTACAGTGAACACGCTCGCTTGCGGCGACGTAACCATTCAGATAAAATATTTTAGTGTTACCGCGTCTGAAACCATCGCCATACAGTGTAGTGAACTTCGGTGTGAATATTTATAACGTTAGTATCTACTATAACTTACGAAAACGATCGCTCTTTTGTGGTTGTAATTCCGTTCCGTTGCAGTGAGGTGTATGTATGCATATCGTTTTCCATTTCGACCTCGTTTACGTGCCTGTGATTTTACTGGATGCGAGGCTGACTTTCCGGCTTTCTATCTGGCGCATATCAGAAACACGAGTGTCCAATCGATGAATCCCCGCGTTCCCGCTGAATGACGGCTCGCACATTGATCGGGTAAGTCCGAATATTGTGAGAGACGCTCCCTATAACGAGCTTTCTATACGCGTATAGAAAACAAGTCGCGGAACAAGTGACGAAAGAGAAATCAGTCTTCGGTGGCTATCTATAATCGTCTCGTATAATGACAATTTGCAATCTGGTGGGTCGCGCAATGTTCGCGAGAGCGGAGGGCGGAACACTCGGGCTCGGACACGACCGCCGCCGAGCACAACAAACAGCGGTGGCTAATTATTATCATCTGACAATAACGAAAGGAGGGGCGCCAGTGCCGGCTCGGCCGCCGCTCACTCGCGCCTCACAGCCGTGCAATCATAACCCTCGGTCTTTGAACCGAACCTCCGTTGTCATTGTTATTTTGTTTACGATGTATGTTCTAGAATCAACTATACTTGTTTACCTACAAAAAATATGCACGACTAAATTACGTATCACACAGATCTAAAAATAAAATTAAGATAAGACACTACATCTCGTAAGGACATCACAAACAAACGATACTTCATAATCATTAATTCTTACTGTAAAATGCTTATTCGACTATATTTACTATGGCTGGCGGGCTTTATGGTACTGTCTTTGGACGAAAGTAACAAATTTTTACAAACTTTTTTTTTAAATATTTGTATAATAACTACGATATAAGAAACCATCACGATATTTGAAATGTAATATACTAATACACTGTTTTTCCTATTTTTCAGGTTCGATCCAACCGAATGGTGATTGGATGACGATCTCATCGCGCTCCCCAGACAAGGAGCCGTCGCCACCAAAACAGATCAACTTCGCGGAACCCCTGGTCGAGTCAGTGCGCGTGTACCTTGCCAATGAGCTGCCATCTAAGCAGCTAGCACTGGTACCGCGCGCGCCTTCGCCGCCGCCGTCGCCATCACCGCCAGCTACGCCGCCGCTCTGCGATGTCGACATAGCCTCGCACACCGCACACGAGGAAATCAAAGGAATCAATTTCGAAGCGCGCCTTAAGCGGAATGACCTAAACAACAACGCGTCACGACAACAGACAGAGCGGCGACACAACGGTGACATGCCCAGCCAAGCAGAACTTATGCAGCGACAACCGCTGCTGGCGCGCACCGTCAAGACAGACGCGCCGCAGCCCACCACCGACGAGTCCGATCCCGACCAGGATCACTCGCCGCAACGCACGCATGCAGGCGACTTCATTGTAGAGATTCCGCCGGGCGCCGTAAGGGAGGAGAGATATCCCAAAGAAATATGGAAAACTATTATATCATTCTTCTTCCTATTTTTATGCGTTTGTGTAAATATGATGTCACTGTCTTTAGTACACGAACGACTGCCAGACAGAAACACAACGCCACCGCTCAACGATATAATACTAGACAACGTCGCAGCACGAGACTGGGGCCTCGCCGTGTCCGAGTATCTCATCATGATATCGACGACAGTAGCCATGCTGGTGGTCGTCTTCCACAAGCATCGGTTTATCGTCGCCCGACGCTTGTTCTTTATAATCGGTCTGTTGTACCTGTACCGGTCGGTCACCATGTTCGTGACCGTGCTACCAGTGTCCAGCACCACATACTATTGCAGCCCCAAAAGCAATAACACTACGCCACTACTAGTCATCAAGAGAATGTTCTACTTAATATCTGGCTTCGGGTTGTCAATAAATGGCAAGCACACGTACTGTGGCGACTACATATACTCAGGGCACACGATGGTCCTAGTGCTAAGTTACCTCATCGTAGCAGAGTACTCGCCGAAGAAGCTGTGGCCGATGCACTGGGCCATGTGGGGCTCGGCGCTGCTCGGAGTGTCGTTCGTGCTGCTGGCGCACGGCCACTACACGGTGGATGTGGTGATAGCATATTACGTGACGACACGGCTGTTTTGGACGTTCCATTCGTTGTTAGTGACGCCTCACCGCAGCGGCAACGGCTACAACCACTACATGATCCAGCGGGAGTGGTGGTACTGGCTGTTCACGTACCTGGAGCGCAACGTGCGCGGGCCAGTGCCGCGTCGATACGACTGGCCGCTGCCGTGGCCGCGTACAAAGCTCTTCAGCCGGCTCAGCTAGTGACGCGCGCGCGCGACGCTGCCGCCGCCGGAACGCGTATGACGCTCACCTTTTGCGAGTGCCGTTTGAGGACCTGCAGCTCCTTGGGGCTGGTCCGCGTGCAGATGGCCAGCGTTAGCGTATAGTCGAACTGATGCACGATCAGATTAAGGTAGACCGTCTCCTCCCAGTCGATTTCTGGGTCTCCGATGGGCAATTTCTTGGAATCCTTGCGGAACACCTCGACGTCGGTCTGCGAACATAGCGGTCAGTGGTCAGCGGCAGGCGTCGGCGCCCTCGCCCGGGCGCACTCTATGTATATTCGGCTGTGCTTAAGTACGATCGCGTGAACCAAGTTGTGTGAACGCTGCGTGTGAAATGTGATAATTCGCAAAGTGAGCATAATATTTATTTCCTCACGACTATCGCAAACTGTTCTATAGAAAGTGATGAATTCGTAACTGCTTTTATTGTTGAATATAATGTAAGATTTGATTTTATTTGACAAAGAACAATAATCGATCAATTATGTACTATCGACTGTTGATGGAATTCTTGTTTTTGTAAATTGTATAGTTTATAAGTGGTTATAGAAAAACCTCGAATCAAAGTTGAAACTTACTAAGTATTTATTAGAAATATATATATACTGTGATGAATGTATAGTTGGAGACGAGTGAATGTACTGCGCCCATGACACTGGGAGTGTCCAGGACATGGCGCGTCATAAGTACATGTAGTTGTTGTACCAGCAGCCTACTATAAGAAATAATATTTTTATATTGTTTAAAATAAAGTACATACTTAACTGTTGTTAATTCATACTTTTGTATTTTAAAATTACTACCATCTAGAATTTATAACATCGTCATCATGGTGCTAAATTACAAAACAAATTAGCAACCTCCTTCACTACCTAAGCTATACTTGTTCAAGAGCTGTCCATATCTTCCACTGCACTGGGTCAATGCTAGCCATGCTAAACAGTAGCACAATGTTGTTATTGAGCATCGGTACACATACAATAATGTCCGGGTGGATTGTATATTTACAAACAAGTGCACCCGCGATGTCCATAGTTTCGAGACTATTGTGTGTTGACAGAGAGTTTCTTGTATATTGCATGTATTGTTTATTATTTAGCAATACAAATCACACATATTTATACTACACATAAAACAACATTACTCCGTGGGCCTCCATCCATTCGTATCAAAATGGCATTCTATATGGAGTTATGTATCACAAAGCTAACAATATAACTATTGGCTAATATAATGCACACCGTCTTATCCATTAGGATATAATTTATGTAACTGTAAAGCAAAACTAAGACAAACATGAATAAACAACTGCCTAAGGTGTTTTTTGTTCCACAATTTGTGGAACTGTCAAAGAATTGTTCCGTGCGGTAATACAATCATGAATAATTTAGTCGTGCTGGAAGTCCAACTGCTTTACTGCTTGTTATTGTTTGCTATAAGCGTGCAAAGTGAATCAACCAGTAGTAGTAACTACGAGACAGTGCGGTGCGGGTGCGGCTAACTACTGACTCACCTCGTACTTGGGCAGGTAGCGGGAGGATCCCTTCACGTGTCGCTTTCTAACAAAAAACAACAAGTCGTCACAGTCTATCGACTGCTCCTCTTGGAACAGAAAGTGCCGCACAAACAGATCTGTCCAGTATGTTGTTCCTTGCAGCACTACGAAACCACAATCTGAAAACATTACAAAGTGTTATACGTTGCACAAATGTATCCTCTTAGGCTCAATACGATCATTATGATGAATTGATATATTCTGATATATACACGACTGTCGCCAAACTGGCCTCCAATTCAAACTGTATTTGTTAATAAGTGATCTAAAATCCACGCAGGTTATTTACGAAGTGACTTCAAAATATGTCGTCTAAACTATCCAACTCTTCATTAGATACAACATGTTGCTGCTTTATAAACATACTCATATTTTCTTATTATGTCTGTCGTGTTATTGTTGTAACAATAGAAATTTGTTTACATAATCTGGCAAAATTTTGCAACAGATATTCTGTCTGAACAAAGTCCAATACGTGTCACGTCACAAAATAAGTAAACGTGTGCGAGAATCTTAAACCTGTTAATACATCAAGTAACTACGATAATGTACGTACATGTATTAACTACTTTAATGCATTCCTGGGACAACTGGTCCATTATGTTGTTAAGCAAGTAAACACGAGGTGCACCTAGCGCCCTCCCTGCAGCAGCCCTACCAGTCGAGTCCTGCCCTCGTACGTCACGTATGTTGACCTGCGTTATTTATAGGCAACTGCCTGACAATAACTTATTTGTTAATGCCTATTTTTATTTCTATTTTATATTCTACTGTATTTACATAATTTATAAATATAGTGTTCTTGTTCTGCACTTCTTACCTGTTTTGTAAATATTATTTATTGCATTGCGTTACGTTACGTCGTTTAAAGCGAAAGATTCTGTACCTTATGCTTGTATGAGAAGTATTTAATTCATTTCGTATTGTGTATGTATAGTGAGTGGGCTATCTAATGTAAACCACACCTGCTTGTGCTTGTTGATACAATCAAAATAATAAATAGGTCTGCCCGGCCTGTGGCTTGTGGTCACTGAATATAATAACAATAAATTATATAACGAGGCTATTCAACAGTTGAAAAAGTTGTAATAGTTATACAGGTTATACTACATTCCGGTATCTGAGGTGTAACATGTTCCATTTTAGATGTATATGAGAAAAATGTAACAATATAAAGAATGCGCAACTGTTTATACCATGATGTTGTAAAGTTAATTAAATGGCTGTTTTTTTCTTAAACCTGCAATTTACCCAATTCCTCTTTCCTACGAGTTGTAATAAAATAATTTCCTCAACAAGTATAATTATCTACTACAGACTCAAGGTTACAGTGAGTGGAGGAATTAATTAAATACATACAATATTAACAAATTGATAGAGAAACTACGTTTGAAATACGACTTTAAAAAAAAAAAATTTACTCCACTGAGCTCGACCGTTTCCTAATTCGGCGACTGGTGGTAGGCAGCCTGGTTGTAAACTGCTTACTACAGGGAAGACGCCATTAATGGTATCATAACAATACAGCATAATGTATTTGATATTAAGTAGGCAATCAATCTTTTTAGAGCTTCGGCTTTAGTTAATGTTATTATTTAACTATTGGTACATTTCCGCGTTTTTCGAGGTTTTCATCCCCAGGCTATACAAATATTATAAGAGGTGTGATATAAATAAATGCTATGCATAAGTTAGGGTTCAGTAAATATAGGGATATTGACACACATTCATGATATTTCAAATCGCAATGAAGTAAGCTAAATTCCCTTAAGGTTTATGTGGTCGCTAGCGAACTAAGAAGTTGAAAATCAAAAAATAACAGCGGTTCGAAATGTGTGAATAATAAAGTGTTTCTTTTTATATTTGATGGACCGACGTTTGACCACTATCTCGCCTGGTGGTAAGCGATGATTAGTTTCCAACCACCGGATAGTTTTACTCCATACTAAACTAAGAATTTCGTAAATAAAGTGAGACTGCCACGATCAGAGATTCTTTAATAAAAAATGCGCCAATATTGTAAAGTTACGGGGCGGATTTATATAATTTCACCAGCGGAAACTTCTAGTTGTCATAGTTGATCAAAGAGTAGAAAGCTCATATTCCTAGTGGTTGGGAGTTTGGGAGCTCATTCTTTATCCCGTTATTTCTACGGTGATTATACAGAATCGAGACTTACTCGAGATAAGTTTTCTAAATAGGTATGAAGTTATGTAACTACCACATAAGCAAAGTCGCAGGCGGTAAGTGATCTATTTGTAAGTGAGCGTCAAGGCTCTGAATACACATACACACAGTTGTTGAGGAGTGTAACACAGGAAATTTAAATCAAGTCTTCAGATTTATTGGAGGAGATTAATAGTTCTGAATGGCGCAGCTGCTGTTGACGCTACTAATTTCAGTCAGAAGCAGCGAAGACTGAGAACGGAACGACGGCGGCCTGTTCTTGAGTAGGTACTGGACATTATTATGTCCTTGAAGAAAGTGATTCTACTACAGTATATTTTTCATGATGAATATTAGTTACCATTAACAATCAATTTTAGTATGATGCGGCAACCGTTTCACATCACACACATTTTTTGTAAGCCTATTTACTTTCGTATGCTCAGTTTATTTTAACAAAGCATATAATTTACAAATTAAAACTGCCCTGTACGAATGAGTCGTCGGACTCCCCTGTCTAAATGCACGGTTGAGTTATTAGGTCATGGTTCAATGAACACTAAGTAAGGTACGAGAGCGGGCGCTTGTTAATTTGAAATAGTAACTACTCGAGTACCTCTACTTCTTCCCGCCATCACCATCACAAGTGGAACTAGACAGTTTCTCTAAGAATTAAGATAAGTAAGTAAAGTAAGAATTATGTTTTTAACTATACAGAATATAAAATTTATGTGTCCTAATGTCTTAATTTCGGCCGTAACTTTTTATGCGGATAAACCGGTAAACGGCCAGACCAGTGCCTTTAGAAAACGCCACTTTAGCGCTTGTCTACAGAGAGAGTAGAAATCAAAATGTATGAGGATGACACCGACAAGTGTCAAAATGTACGTCAATTCCATAATTTGGTTTTCTATTCTACATGTAGACCAGCGCTAAACGGCATTTGGCTACAGCTGCTGGGCACGCTAAGATCACCCGATGGTAAGCAATCGACGCCGCCCATGGAAACTCGAAACACTACAGACGTTACAGGTGCGTTGCCGGCCTATTGGGGGTTAGGAATTTGAGGATTGTTAGGGATTCGAGGATTGGGGTGATTGGAGAGGTAATTGGGCGTCCAATAACCTAACTTACACGACAAAACACAACTCAAGCGTTGTTTCACGTCGGTTTTCTGTGAGACCGTGATATCACTCCAGTCGCGACATGCCGAGGCATGGCTCTCCCATACGTAGGTAAATCTATTGTTATAACTACCTTCTTACTTATTAGTTACACATAAATCATGTGTTGAAACTAGAAAACTTTGGATTGTCTCTTAAAATAATGTAATGTTCCCTTAGATTTAGGGGAGGTTCCTCTAGGTCTAGGGGATGTTTTATGCAAATAAATGTTTTTATCTTTAAAATATATAATGACAATTACTCAGTATGTAATTATAAACTACCGAATTCTATGAGTATGAGTAAACATTAAAACAATAGTGTGTAAGTGCCAGACAGAAGCAACTTGATAATAGATTGAGGCAGTTTGGTTTGGACACAGCACTGTAATGACTTTGTTAACAGTGTGACTGACTTGCTGTGGCCTGGCTAGCAAATCTTTTTCTTTTAAATTACTTGTTATTGAATTGTGGTCTATATTCAATTCAGTTAATTTCACATATTTAAGTTTATCTATTCACTATTACAGAGCGAGAAAACAGTCCAATAGGAAATATAACATTAGGCATCACGCCTAATGTTATATTTCCTATGTTTTCCTGCATGCTGTATCTGCCTCTTTGAATAATAAGTGTGCACTTGAATTTAATTTACTGTGTTGTACCACTTTATTCTAAAAGAGTTTGCGCTCCTCCTTTAAATACTATGCAGTATGCCTATGTTTGCATTACCATCTATATACATTAACTCGTCGAGTACCGGTTTTATAGACACAATTAAAGAACAATAGGTCGCGGTCACCGGTGACCGCTTGGTGTTTGACAGATTAAACACTATATTTATTCATTTGTAGCTGTGTGCTATGTAGCTTAAGAAACAAACAATTCAAGTAAATATGCATACAATGGGCGGTCTTATCACACAATGGTGATTTCTTCCAGACAACCCGTAGAGAGTTAAATGAACAATAAAAAAATACTAAATAAAAATACCTACAATACAACCTTCAATAGATATATTTATATAGCAATATAAATAAAATTCAGAAATAATATATAAAAAACAATCAGCCGAACATAAAACCTCCCTCTTTTTTTGAAGTTGGTTGGGATGTACAATAAACTATATGGGAGTTAGAGGAAATAGACCAATCATAACATCATCTTATCACATCATGATCAATGTTCTTAAATCATAGAGTTTGATGTATTCAAATTTGGTACAATATCATCCTTCAGAGGAATATGTAGTACCTAGGTACCTGATTCTTTTTATTATAATAATATGTTGTCTTATATAAAATTGTTTAGGTATGTTTTGACTTCAAATTATTTCAATTTATTAATGTAAATACTACAATACTACTTATTTATTGTGTCACTTACCATCCTTCATCAGCTGACGCATCTCTTTGGTCCTTTGAAAATTGATTTCTTCCAGTAATTGTTCTAGCATTGTGGCGCTTTTTAAATAAGTTGATCCTCCTAGAGCCATCTTACAACCAGTCAGTAGGTACTGTAGCCGCACTTGTTACTTGTTTACGACTCTTTTCTAAACGAACACTCATCAACACGTTACGACCACAGTCAAATTGTAAAATAATATTTGTTTCGTATATTTTGTCATTTAAAATAGTGCTGGACGTAATCAACACAAGGTTTTTGATATCAACTTGCTTATTTATAAATAAAACCTAAACAATCGCTACTTTGTTTTCCATTTCTTATCAGTATTTTTTTTTGTTTTCATTCAATTCACCAATCAGTGCCTCAAAAATCCTAAAAATCTATGTGAAATGAATGAATACGTAGGTACTGAAAATGAAATGATTCTATTCCAAAGAGTAGATAATGTTCGGGAAATTCTATTCTGGTTTTTGACTTGACATGACAACTTACTTGACTTTGACTTCAAATCATAGACAATATATGATTGTAACCAAGGAACAACAGTAGTCGATTACATGAATTTTAAACTATAGTCAAGAACGTGCTATAGTAATCAAAGCATCTAATTAAATTCCAAATTTTTTTGGAATTTAATAATTTTTTGTTGGTTAGTTTAGGTCCGGAAACACAAACAAAATAAACCCAAACACAAAAGGCGCAAACGCCAACAAGACCAATCCAATAGGTAGCCATGGAAGTACTCATGGAATAATCATAAGTTTGTTATTGCCATTATTACCTACTATAGCAGCGTAGACCATGCCGTGTCGCGGAGACGGGTAACCGGGGCTCTGGCTCGACGTGCAGGAGAAGGAACAGGGTGGTTTTTAGTCAGTAAGAGTCTGACACTCCCTCCCGCGGTCCCGCCTCACCCAGGCGGGAGTAGCCATTCGATGATTTTCCTTTCCCCCCTTAAAAAAAAGGACCACATGCCGTAGACTACAAATTGAGATGACATTTGTTGTGACATTTGACATTTGTCATTTTGCAAAACTGTCTATTTGAATAGGTATTCAGAAAAAAATCCAATCAAAATGACAACTCAAAAAAACTTATAAAAATACAACAATAATAATGTTATTTTTAGCTTATATTCCGCTTCTTGCACAAAATCGAATTAGAATAATACAGTGAAGTTCTACAGTTGATATCCGGAGAGACCGGGTGAATAGAAAAAAATGTCAACCCTAAGACCTTTCAGATGTTTATACAAACATAGTGTGTTCGCGTTGAGGCACTCGTCACGACTGGCTAGTGCATTGGCGCAGTGGGAGTATGCAGCAGAAGGGAACAGTAACTCGGAGGGCGAGTACCGAGCAAGAGCCGTGAAGACAGCGCTAGGTGCCGGCTCGCTAGCACTCGCTCTGCTAGCAGCTGATCATGTCTTCAATGGTGCCTATACTTAATAAGTAGTTGCATATTGATGTTTGCGAATTCATGGTTACATTACATGGAAAAACTATGTAGGCTCATTCAATTCGCCATTATCATCAATACCTAAAATTGCATCTATCCAAAGGCCTGCCATTTGGAATGTTGATCTTAAATGGCTTTATGCAATATTGTATTGTGTGCAGTCATCCCCTCTCAGTATTAGAGCTTACAGTTGCAGGTTGGTCGAGGGTCATTATAATGCATGTGTATTTTGTGTTATGTAAGTAATGAGAGACTTGCATGACATATTATCATTCTTACAGCATAGGTACTGTAATTTACGTCATTTAGCCCAACTGAAAGAGAAGCTAATTATGATGATCTAATTAAAATTAAAATATTTGAAGTTTCTGTTCCCTACTTGTTACTCTACTAGTGTTAGGTAACAAACCAAGATCAATTTCAGATAAAGTTATTGTTCTATACCAACTCCACTTGTACACCAGCATCATGCATATACTTCATCTACATATATTTTGTAACAGTTGAGAAGTTGAGAGAGTGTTGTGTCAACCACACTACACCACATATGTCGCGGAGAACCTAAAGGGTTACCGGGGCTCCGGCTCGAAGCACAGGAGAAGGAACGGGGTGGTTTTTAATCAGTAAGAGTGACACTCCCTCCCTCCTCACGAAGGCGGGAGCAGTCATTCGATGATTTACCCTCCTTAACCCTTTGAGTACCGTCATTACCTCCAATATTATGGTACTTTGTATGCCATGTTCACAACTAGTTCGTATATATTTTGTCATTACATGTTAGGTTGCTGTATTTGATAATAGGTATGTAGTTTGAAATTATTTTATTTTATTCTACTATAAACGTTGGTAGCAGTTGGTGGTAAGAAATAAATAAGAATAACAAAAATTACTCAATAATAACCATAAATTGTTTTAGAAAAACGATTCTTCAAAGCTGCTCAGATCGGGAATGTGCAAGAATTACGGAAGTGAGTATATAAACTTTGAGAAGTATCTTAATTCAGTGAAAAAAGTAACTATTAGGCTTTTTAAACATTTCCACAAATTCAGGCAAGTCGAGGCAGTAGCTAGCAACAACAAAAGTGGCCGAGGTGAAAACGAAGCTGACGGAGGCGGAGGTGGCGCAGCCGACTGGCGCCATGCACTGGGTTGGACGGCGCTCATGGTGGCCGCCGCCAACGACCAGGCGGGCGCCGTGCACGAGCTGCTGAAGATGGGCGCTCGGCCGGACCTGCAGGAGCGGTACTCGGGCGCCGCCATGGCAGCGGCGGCCGCCGGCATGCACCCGCTCGAGGTGCTACAGCGGCGCGAGGACGAATTTTGTAGCACTATGAACGCGCGTGCGTCATTCCTCGGTTGGACCGCTCTGCACTACGCGGCGCTGGCCGACTCCTCGGGCGCAGCGCGCGAGCTGCTGGAGGCTGGCGCCGACCCCACGGCGCGCGACCACGCGGGCCGCCGCGCCCTACACTACGCGCGGGACCCTTCGCCCACTCGCGACCTCATCCTCTCGCACACGCGCACGTGGGAGGAGGCGGCCGCCGCCGCTGCCGCAGAGGAGCGACGTCGCTTCCCGCTGGAACAGCGCCTCAAGCAGTTTATCGTCGGTCAGCAGGCCGCCGTCGAGACGGTCGCGGCGGCCGTGCGACGCAAAGAGAACGGCTGGGCGGACGACGAACACCCTCTCGTATTCCTATTTCTCGGTAGCTCTGGCATCGGCAAGACTGAGCTGGCGAAACAGTTGGCGCGGTACATGCATCGCGACGACCCGGCAGCTTTCATCCGGCTTGACATGTCGGAATACCAAGAGAAGCACGAGGTAGCCAAGCTAATCGGGGCGCCGCCCGGCTACGTGGGCCATGAGGAGGGCGGGCAGCTCACGCGAGCGCTGGCGCGGCGCGCGGACGCCGTCGTTCTGTTCGACGAGGTAGACAAGGCGCACCCTGACGTGCTCACGGTGCTACTGCAGCTCTTTGACGAGGTATGTTAACTACCGCTACGATCTGAATCATTACACTTCCAGCCACATTGGTAACTGAGATTTGCTATCAATTGCAGATTAAATATCTTTATCCGATGACAACGTTGTTAGTAATCAGAAATTGACGATAAAGCCAAGCTGCGTGGTCTGCACTGGGGCTATTATTTCGTTTTTGGCAGCTGCAATTGCGAATCTCAGACTAACTTATTTTACGTTGATTCTCATTTAGAAAATATGTCTTAGGGAAGGCTTACAGATGGTAAGGGCAAGTTGATCGAATGTAAGAACGCCATCTTCGTAATGACGTCGAACTTGGCAGCGGATGAGATCGCGCAGTATGGGCTGCAACTGCGGCGTGAGGCCGAGGCTCGCGCGGCGCAGCGCGTGCGCATGGCGCCTACAGTCACCGTCGAACAAAGAGGTGTGCCCAGCCTAATGAATTTTTTTTCATTGTTTTATGGTGATAAAAGACCGTGGTTTTCGGTTTCAGTAGGGTCTCACGATGCGAACGGCCAGAGCGGGCCACCCGAATCTAGCGACCCGGAGGAGTCACTAGAAGTGTCGCGAAACTTCAAGGATAGCGTGGTGCGACCGATACTCAAGCGGCACTTCGGCAGGGACGAGTTCCTGGGCCGTATCAACGAGATCGTGTACTTCCTGCCGTTCTCGCGGCAGGAGCTACTGACTCTGGTGAACATGGAGCTGAAGCTGTGGGCGGAGAAGGCGAGCGCGCGGCACTCCGTGGAGCTGCGCTGGGAGGGCGGCGTGCTGGGCGCACTGGCTGACGGGTACGACGTGCACTACGGCGCGCGCTCCATCAAGCACGAGGTGGAGCGCCGCGTCGTCAACCAGATCGCGCTGGCGGCCGAGCGCGGCGCCCTGGCCCGCGGCTGCGGCGTGCTGCTCACGGAGCGCGCCGGCCGCGTCGCGCTCGCAGTGCGCCGGCCGCAAGATGCCGACTACACGCCACTAGACCTCGCCGCACTCTGACTACGCTCTGACAGCTATTCATTATTTAGTACTTAATAAAAATTAATACAAACCTGATGTAGCTTTCTTATTTTGCACTGGAACATCCCCTACTTCCCCGAGTGACTGTGATAAAGCTGATTGTCAATTATACTTATCTCTATAGCTTCGTGCGACCTTTGGACATACATATTCGTACAATATTATTTTCCGATATTAGATAACTGTCCAGTACCAATTGCACGACGCATGGGCGGAACGAATTATTGGGTATTTGTCTGAATCCCGTCTAGAATGGTGTCTGAGTTTAGGTAATAGGTACTCGCACAGCACCCAGTAAAATCGAGACATCGGGATCGCAGTCTTCAGATATAGTAGTTTCACCTCACTGCAGTGTTGCTGGGAAATGCAAGCAAAAGACTTCGCTCGGATCGTATCTGAATACGGGTGGTGCCGGCGCTCCAGCTTGAAGCGGAAGGAGTAGGAACGGGGTGGTTTTTAGTCAGTAGGAGTCTGACACTCCTTCTCGCCTCACCCGGCGGGAGAAGGTTCTGGACGATTTTCCCCCCTCAAAAAAAAAACTTAAACCCTGATCCAATCCTACTATTTCTACTATACAGTTCCATGGTTGAAAAACCACAGCATTCGATATTATATTCTATCTTTCATGAAACAGCCTTCGGTAATGGCTGGCACCAATCTCTGGTGAATGTGGCTTGATTAAAGTAGGTAGGTACAACGCTATAATCTTACATACTTTAATTTTTTATATATTTTGTTAAAAAATGTTAGTCGGATAAAGATGTTTCAAAATATAGAAATAACAGCAGAACCACAGATATATTATTTTACAATATGAGCAAAACCATTTAGTAAGGTAAGGTACCTTACTCAGTGCCGTAACTTACGAACGAACTTGTGGCGACACTAATGTGTTGACATTTTTTATGTGTTCTCAAGTGCGTAGCTGCGCCTGCGACCCTATAGCACGCCCGTCGTCTCCCAGCTTTGGTGTTAACGAGTAATATTTTGTAATATAGATTAGTTGTGAATTGTGTAGGTATTTCTTAGTCTGGAGTCAAGTGAATTTAAATAAGAATACACACCACATTGTAAAAACTGTTTTGAATTATATTTAATTAGCTGTAGTGGGTAAGTATAGGACAATGTATACAATAAATAAAACAATTTATGGTAAGTGCTTATTTTATTAAACTTCGCACCGTTATATACAAATATAATGTAATAATGTATAAATAAATAACAATTCTTTACAAAATATAATCGATTATGTGTCGGCGCGGCTGAGTGCCCGGTATGGTCGAGCCGCGGCGAACAACTAAACACGAAGGCCTCTGGTCGTGCTGGCCACTCGGAGCCAGCACTTGTGAACTATAAGATAAACAATGATACATAGCAGCCGTACATGGGGACGATATACGATATGTGGCAGACTGACGAGCGCATCACATTCACTCTACGCGAACGGGGGTACTTAGACTAGAACGTCACGTTTACATCGTTGACATACCTACTGAAGATCCAATACAATATACTTAGTTGTAATTTTTTTAAATGTGCTGCCGTCTATGGTGCTATATTATTCTGCATATTTATGTCAATATCTAAGCAAAAATAGTACGAAAGGGTTTTTGATACAACGCACTTTTTTATCAAACGCAAATGACGTATACAATTGTATCTATTTATATATACATTATATATAGATCTACATAATGGTACCTAAGACAGGATTGACACTTATTAGTTATGTACCTAAAATGTTTCACAGCAGAAACAAAACTAATGAGGTGACGAACCTAATGTGAATGCGTGCAACGCATGCGTGTTGGAAGTAGGTACTTAAGATGGCCATCAGGCGGGCGTTACATTTGTTGCTGTTAATATTTTAGAAAAGGTGATGAATGCTATCCGTTACGAAGAATACAAAATGAAGCACCCGGTGCACTGCTTCTAGATATGTATTTATAATATATCTCTGGAGGTACTTAGGTAACTAGGTACGTATAAGTGAGTTACGACGCGCTCGTCGTCCGTCTGTGATACTGACAGACACTCACGTCTTCACATCCACAACTATTCCTGATGCCTCTTAATATTGACTAGGTACTCTCTTTTCTTACTATACAAATAAATAAAACTTGTAAACACAGCAGAATCTGTTCGAACTCAGATGTTGGTTGAATCAATTTAAAATAATGAGAACACTTTATTAACACCTATTCGTTTACCTTCTACTTAACCTAACGTGTCTTACAAAAAGTCAGGGTATTACATACCGGCATCGGATATTTAGGTAAGTAGGTATAACATGTTTCTTTTAAAAATCCCTGTTTCATATTGTTCGTCCTCACTTATTATAAAAGTAGCACTATTTCAGTGTGCGCCGACCGAGTAACTTATAATTGGAAAACTTTCTGGAACACATCATGATTATATTTAGTAACTTATTGGCTATTAGTAGATGCCTTATATTACTAATCGCCTTATACAAACAGGGGTTGACTGATTCGTCTTTGTCGGATAATTAAGTAAGTAGTAGAAGTCTGGTGAAGTGTCGGGCCAAACGTGTAACGAACTTACAAACGGTGGATACTAAATCTGGGCCTCGGAGGCTGGTGCTACTACCTATTAGGTATTTACCTACGTGTCGTGAGTTGGAGGTAGAATATCTCCAAAAAGTTATGCATTACATCATTATGTTATTCTGATGATATCACAGAAACGTCTTGTCCTTTCCACGAAGTGTAGAAATACTTAGTGGAGTCGTGACATATCTAACAATATTGCAAAATAAATAAATACTTATGTTGCTCTTTGTGCTAGTCAACCCACTGCCAGTACCTACTTCAGATAAAATTATCTTAAAACGTATATAAAATAATTTCTTACAAATGCAATATAATAAAATCCTTATTCTACCTACACATTACAATATTTTTGTAGCTACTTAACTAGTTGGTGTTTGATAAAATATGTCTTCGTTATAATATCTATTATAGGAAGATAATCCGCTAAATATCGATAGTAATATTGTGTTCATATAATGTTAGCATGCACTACACACATGGTCATGTACCAGTCTACTCTACCGATGCCTTACTCTACAGTTGGTCAACCGAATGCTGTGGCCGTCTCGTTGGGATGTGCTCATGTGCTACAGTACTCTACCAGCTGAGTGTGGCTTTGGGTCCCAGGCAATATGATGGTGTTCATGTTTTGACAATGACAAATACTAAGTACGTTTCGTGGGAATGATCCCTCCCTGCAGGTATTATCCAATTAAGTACTTAATGCGGTATGTTTTCAGTGCAAACTACTGATTGGTTTTCTTTGTCAAAACACCAAATGATTAATTAATTAATTTTCTTCTCTCATTTAACTAATACAGCTACAGCGCAGTGCAAAGAATTGTGCTGTTCTGGAACGGACGATGATAGCGAGTTCAGACGCCTCCCTCTGGCGCCGGGCCCTAGAGCCAGCCGGCCGAGTGGTGCGGCGCGTGGCCGTGCAGCGGGGTGACGCCCGCCAGCCGCGCCAGCGCCGCGCAGCGCCCGCACGGCGCGCCCTCGTCGTCCGTCGGCGGCGCTTCGCCAGCCACCTCGCTCGCCTCGTACCCGCAGCGCCCACACGCCTCCTGAGAATCGTCGACACGCGACTCAGCACCATCCGCCGTAGCTCGAATCCGAGCAAGCTCATAGAGTGAGCGCCCCACCTTATGTGCGTCGTCATCCAAGCTGGCCAGGAGCGGCTCCCGACTGCCGCCGCGGCCCGCCACGCTCTCGGCCGTGGTGGAGGGTGATACGGAGGCCGGTGGCGGCGGCGGGCGCGGTAGCGGGCCTGCTAAGGGTGGCGGCCGCGCTGGCACCGAGCTGGCGCGCTGCAGTGCCTCTGGCCCGGCTGCAGTGCGCGCTTCCGCCCCCGCTCGCCGCGAGTCCGAAAACTTCTTACGCTTGCGTTTGAGTGCTGCGAGTGCGGACAGCGGGTGCAGCGGCCCGCTGCGAGTAGTGCGCTCTGGACTGCGCTGTGAGTCGCTGCCCGAGTCGGAGCGGTCACTGCCACTAAACCATAAAACTCAGCTTAAACATAGGTACATAATTATATACCTAGTTCACACGGTTCCTACCGCTGCTGCTCGGCTCCTATTGATCGTGACGCAATGTTTTATAGCCTTCCTCGGTAGATAATATAAACCGATCCAAGACCTCATCTAGTAATTTAAAGACTGACGTATAAAAGTGTTAGGTACTTTGTAACCTATTTGCAGAAATAAATATTATTTGTTAATCAAGCCAAGCCAATCAATCGATATCTGTATAAGTACTTAGCACTTCTGAGAGCTAGGATAAGTGCTAAGGATTTTTTGAAATTCCACCCGGAAGGGTTTTATTTTTCTGAATCACTTTTTATCAAACTACGGAATCGATTTAAATGAAATTAAACAAAAAGGTCATAAAATAATCATTTATATCCCGGAAATCTCACGGAAACGGAAAATATGCAAGCAAAACCCGTGGCAAGTAACGTGTGTGAAGCGATAAGTATGCGGAAGATTGGGAGAGTACGTATATTCTATTGAAGAGGGCAACCTCTTAGTGGTTTGGTTTCGAACTTCCGCGATTAAGCCTTGGTTAGGACTGATTGTGATTACCTGTTACTATGTAGGCACCTACTTGTTTATAGTCCATCTGTTTAGGTAATTAACTAAAGGTAAACAAAGAAAACCACGTGACACAGAGATACTTAACCTACTATTACTTCAAATATTTCTCGTGTTTTAATTTTAACTAAATTCACTTTAAAATCGTTCATTTGTCATACACACACATACAAGTAACTACAAATGCCTAAATCGTACAAGAGCCTAGCCTATGGGTCTATTTCATTATCATGTTTAAATAGAAACTATTCTGAATCTGATGTACAGATTTCTTTCTTGTACGGATATGTGTCTTTGGGCCAAGTTTTTTCAATATATTTGAACACATTAATTACAAACGATGTATACCTAAACTTAAATAACTTAATAACAAAAACAAAACAAAGAAACAAGATAAATTCAACAAAATAGGAACGCGAGCGCAAACGACGAGAGAGCTGTCAATGGCGCCTGATTAACCGACTAAACGTAATACACGCTACTTTCATTGTCGCGCTACATTTTAGTTGTACTCTTTAATTTGACAACATTATTTTGCTTCGTTCTTAAAGAAGGGTTTTGGATACCTGGGATTTTAGGCTCTTTATGGTGTCTATTGTAATGAAATATTATATTATTTAATAAATGTTATTAAATTAATATCCTCAAGCAGATATATATAATATTTACTAAGAAATAAGTGAAAAGGAACAGAAACATAACATTTAATAGAAAAAACTGTCGTAAAAAGGGAAACAATTTTATTTTCTTATGAAGTATTTTGAATCATGGAAATGTCAACTATAAAGAACTCTTTTTATGGTTTGTTTACAAATAGTTAACTACCTAAACAGACGGAGTATAGATTACATTACCCTGTTGATTTTTTACGCTAATAACCAAAAGGGTGAAGGTGACATTTTCCAAATCATAATATTTTGGACTCACCTGGGTGTTTGTCGCGCATGATCGCAGACAGAATCTTCAGACCTAGAGCGGCCAATGAGCCGCGACACACGCGCAGCACGAGCGGCCTCGATGATAGTGCCCCAGCGACGCTTGTGCGAGGCGGGCTTGCGGCGCGCGGCTGCCAGCCCAGCGGCACTGGCACCGTCCGACAGGCTGGACTGGCTAGCGCGCAGCCTAGTGCCCAGCAGCGCTGTCAGCGAGGCGTGGTGCGCCGCGCCGTGCGAACCGCCGTGCTCATGATGCAGCGAGGCCAGGAACTCGTCCACGGGTGCCAGCGACCCGCCCGGAGCGATGTTAAACCCTTTCATGAGTCTGCGCTCCTTTTGCCGGTTCTTCTTACCGCCTCCGCCGCCTGTGTTGTGTACATCGTAATGAGTAAGTCAATGCTTAATTTTATCAAAAGAAATAAATAAATCAAATGAAAGTGCTGAAATATATTACGGAAGGAATGTCTAGTTACAAAGGAGAATGCTTCTAAAACGGTGGGTTACCTGGAGCTCCGGCGTTAACGGTGGAGGTGTTCATGCCGGAGTTGCGCAGGATCTCGACGAGCTCGCAGCGGAAGGCGCTGACGTCCTGCTTGATCTCGTTGACGTCGTCCTCCGTCACGCCGCCGCTCTCGGCGCGCCGCTGCTGCACCGTCACGTAGCGCCTCACCAGGTTGCGCATTATACCCTGCTCGCGACTCTTACATTACTGGTCTGCCTTGCCATTAATAAACAAACAAAAATAGAAACGTGCCAAATACCTCACCCACCTGATAACGGTAATCCCGCTCATTTGCTTGTTTAGCTTTTCTCTGTAAAAGAAAAATTATCCAAGATATGACAAAAATTAATGCAACGTTTGCCTGATTCGACATACAAGACGGTGGTTAGGTATATCTAGGTACTCGTGCGGCAGACATAATAATTATAATGGTACCCGTATGGTGCGCATGTGCTCGCGCTTGGCGCGCGCGTGGCCGCACAGACGGCGCTGCAGCCAGCGCCAGGCGTACAGCGCGGACTTGGGCGACGGCAGCACGTTGAAGGGCGGCGGCGCCGTGCCCCCCTCCTCGAAGTAGCTGATCCACAGCTTGCTGCGCGCGAACTTCCACTCCACGTCCGCCCGCTCCTGCAAGGTTAGTCATCATCCGTCATCAGGTGATGAAACTTAAATTTTGTCCTACCGAAATCTAATCGAATCGAAATCTTATGATTATACATACATACATACATACATAACTTCACGCCTGTCTCCCATGGGGGTAGGCAGAGACTAAGGAACGCCAATGATTATATGATTTATTTATTTAAATGAACAGTAAGTATCTTACAGAAATAAGTTGGTAGGAGTGGTTCATCATGGCGATGAGCAGGTTGAGTAGCACGATGACGTTGATCACGGCGTACGTGCCGAACATGAGCATACCCCAGAACCGCGTAAAGATCTTGATGCCGTCCAGTTCGAACGAGTCCAAGTCAACCAATCCGAACGCTGCCCAAAATAGTGTTTGCATCGTCTCGAACAAACTGCAACACAATTATACTTTTATGTTTTTTAATTTATTTAAGTAGCTTTGTCGACTGCGTTGTTTGTAAAAAATTAGTGGATCACACAACGAATTATTTTAAGCGAGAGTCGAGTCTACGATACATTGTGCATTGGGTAATTGAACGTCACAAAAGGAAAGGGTAAGGAGTAAGTAGGTATATACGTCATGTAGTGTTATTACTTGGCGAACCGACGCCACACGATGCAGGCGTCAGGGTCTGGGAAGGTGCCGTTGGCGGTGAGCGAGTTGCTGCCGGTCGTGCAGCGCTTCTTCTCCATGTCCGCGTAGTACCACAGGAGCTGGTTCAGACCTGCCGAGTGTTAGTCGTCGCCTGTATTAGCAGTTAGAAGCTATGACTCCTGGCTGTTTCCCCAATTAATTTGAGGTCAGCGTTATCTAGTCTCGACTGAATGTCAGTGTTTTACATGGAGAGACTGCCATTTATTCTTTACAAACCTCTAAAAGTGATAATACATAAATACATGCGTATTACAACTTAATATGTAATAAGTATGTGTAATGAATTTTATTTGTATATAAATACAACACAGTGGGTATGCAACGATTGTTATACTAGTTATCGTATAATTTTATTTTGAAAAATATCTACTTACTACCAACATACCACACTTCGTTTTGTCTAGCCCTCTGTTTTTTTTGGTTGTTGAGTGCCTCTTGAGACAAACAATATGAAGTAGGTTTTCAAAAATGCATTTTTCTAAAAACATATATAAAATTAATCATTATCTTAGCAGACTCACCGCATGAAAATGCAAAGATCACCAATATGTCCAGGACGAAGAACTTGAGAATGTCGAGCACCATCCGACTGAGCGACACTTGCAGCGGGCCCAGGTGAGGGTTCACGCTGAAGATGTACACCAGCTTGAGGCTGCTAAATATGTTGGCTGCGGAGAACAGGCCCTCGGACAGCAACATCGGGTCCCAGGCGTCCCACTGCTCACGCGGCTGGTTCCACTGCATGCCGGCTGCCATCTCCCGCCGCACCTGTCCATGTCAACCTAGCGCTGTACTCGTGCACTCGCAATACTCTGCTACGCAGGTTTAATGTACTTCTTCCGTTTTACCTGAAAGTGTGAAACGATCCGTAGCGCGACCGTGGCGACGTACAATGAGTTTGTTACAAAATCGATCACGTTCCACATGTCGTGCACGTACTCCCGGAGTCCCATGTCCCACAGTTGCTTCACCTCGCTCCATATCAAACCTGCGCCGAACGATATTATGCACTTCTTTAAGTCACTCTACATGACTCGGGCACGAGTACTCTACAACACCATAAAAGTAATACTGACCGCTAACCCACGCAAGGATAAGCCATTCGACGAGTGAGGGCGGAGCACCGCGCCGCGACAGGGGCTCGCCATGTGGCGCTGCGCCCCATAGCAATCCTCCTGCCGCAGTCTCGATACGCTGCGATGCCAGTATCAGTAGAACTGAAATAATATCACATCATCTAGTGTAACATATCCAGAATCAATGGTAGCATGAGGTCTAATTGTGTAGTCTAGTGATAAACTTGTTACAAGTAGCGAATGTAAGAGAGTATTTTACATAGGAACATGAAGTAGCTCGCGGAGTGGCACAGGAATTTGATGAAGGGCTTCCGCAGCGTGCGGCCGGCGGAGGAGTGTGGCGCCACGATGTACGCGAGCGAGTACAGCGGGAACATGGCACCGATGCGCACCATCTCAGCCGCCTGCAGCAGCATGTTCTTGCGCCGGAACCCCGGCACACTCTCGTACCAGATGGACGCCAGCAGCTGCTGCACGTTTGGGTGCGCCACGAACTGCAACATATGCAACGTACCTATCACTTATCCGACATATCTAACAGATAAATAAAATTGAAATATCTCTTTGTAATAGTAAAACAACCGCTATTTACTACATACACATGAATATACATACGACACACATACCAATCTAATATTTTTTACAATTTTTGTCTGTCTATACCTCTACAGAAGGACAAACAGTTGTAGGTACTCGCTTATCACTGGAATGGCTTGATCAATTTTGACGGGACTTTTATTGGCAGGTAGCTAATGTAGGTACTAAGGAGTAACATAGGTAGCCTATGTTTTATTTTAGAAAAAATACGAGGAAGGTTTCGCCCTAAAATTCATTTTTTATATGACGAAGTCGCGGGCAATAGCTAGTACATAATAAAACTGCGTCTAGTCTCCATCCCAGCAGCAGGAATGATTTTCTAGTGTTAGAAAACTTCTCATAATTTTTTAGACTTGAATATCACGCAATTTTAAATAGGAATAGATGGACAAAAAGTCTCCTTAACCGCTTGAATGCCCGTGTATAAGACTGTCTCGCGTGGACACACGATGGGGAAATTCATGCATGAGTGTAATTCTGTATTTTTTTTACTGGGACAAGTTGGCTACCACCTCCCAACACCACTACTACTCCTGTAAGTCATGATCTACAGCAGGTTCGGATATTATCAATGAAGGAAACAGAATGACTTAAGTTTTTATCAGCACGAAAAGGCTGCACTGAGGAAAGCCGAGCCCAGTTGCCGAACTTCACGGAAATTAACGAAACTTAGTTAAGTGGGTGAGTGATTTAGTTATTACACAAACACTTAATAAATCGTACCTTTTTTTGCCTTAGTTTTATCGCAAGTTTAAGTCTAGAGAGGCGCATTCTCTCCGGCGCGCCTGGCTCTGGCAGCGGTACTTGTGGCGAACCCGTCTCGTGGTTGAGCAACACTTGCAGTTCATGCGAGGTGCGCGTGTGGTCCAGCAGCGCCGTAGCGAACTCCTGACACTGCGTGCGCAGCTCCTGATACTCAGTCTTAAACTCATGCTCGAGCGCCGAAAGCCGCCGCAGCTCCCACGACAGCTCGAATGCTGTCAATATGGGGTCCTTGGAAGAGAGCGCGATAAGTGAAGGAGAGGCGAGCGCACGGTACGCGTTGATGCGCGAACGCGAGTGGCGCAGCGAGTCCTCGCGGCGCGAGCGCACGCACTCGTCGCAACCACAGCGCACGTCGTGCGGGACCGGCAGCGCCGCGCCGCGGTCCAGCAGCAGCTTGATGATCTCGTAACTGTCGCGGTGCGCCGCCAGTATCAGCGGCGTGATGTCCGCCGTGAACGTCGCCGTCTCCGGCGGTAGCGCCTCCCAACTCTGTAATATGTCAACCTCTCGCCACAGTTGTTTGTCTATGACATTCGTCAAGTGAATGGCTCGCGAGATAGGAACCAGGTACTCACATTAGGCTCGCCAGGCTTCCGTGTGCGCTCCTCATGGTCGAGCAGCGCCTCTACAGCCTCGACGAACTCCTCGGAGATAGCATGCAACAGCGCATCGCGCGTCTCCACGCCAAACTCCAGCAGCAGCTCCACCATCTCGAGGTTCTCGTTGTCGATGGCCATGAGCAGCGCGCTGCGGCCGAGTGGCTCGACGCAGTCGACGTTGATGTGGCCGGTGTCGCGTGCCCGCTGCAGCACTCGCCGCGTGCCCGCCACGTCGCCACGCTCCACGCCCAGCAGATATTTCTTCTCCTCCAGCGACAGCACCGCCATCTCCTGGTGCGGCCGCACCACATTTTCCTCCTCCGTCATTCCATGGATACTGTGCCGCTACAAAAATACATTTGATATTGTGGAGATGACATAAACATATTTACGTCGACATGAGTTCTAGCAAATAAGTAAATATATATTGAATGCTATAGAGGTATAAATCAAGGCAGCTGAGCTGGATTCGAGAACAAGAAGCTACTTGATGTATTACGATCACGAATACCTAATTTCGCGATCGTAATGTTACCCTACATGTATAGCGATCTAACGACATAAATATACCAATATCATCGATCTCCCGCCCTGGCAATACTTCAGGGAGCAGTTTACGCTAATGAAAAGTGTCTCGTGCGGTATTGCTTTACCGTATATTATGTACACTCAGACAGACATGACCGGATATAGATTATATATCACAAGTCACCTAAAGACGTGATGGCGTCGCACCGTCGCCGTCGCGCGTCACTTCCGTGGATCTACTCATATAGCGTAACCGACTACAATCATAGAGTGTAGGAACAATGTCATGTCATGGAACTCTAATACTAGACATAATGTATTCTACAATTAATGGAGTTATAATATATGCTGTTTAATTGCACATAGCAGCGTACAACGGACAGTATAGAGAGCACAGTGTACGCAGAGTCCGTGCTGGACACAACACGGAGCGCTGCCGCCTCCTGCATTGAATGTGTTCAAACCGAATCACTTGTTCTAAATAGCTTAGCAACTGATGTCGCTTTGACAAGATACTCCGGTCCGACAGTGCGGCCCACATTGTGCAGCTGTATGAAACAATAACAGAAACGGGCCGGCCAGACGTGTCCGCAGTCGATGACTAAGTGTTGCTCGAGTAAATGTTTACGCGACCGAGCTCCAATGCCGAGCCGCCCGAGAGCTTCGCTGCGAGATACTCCAGTAAAGTTATTGTTTCATTGATAGGCGAAGCTCGTGGTCTCGTATGCCACTTGCAAATCATCTTCTCTCACTACACAATTATTACTACTTAAAAATAAAAAATTAAAACAGGAAATGTACATTATTGCTCACACGCACATCATAATACCAATATACCTACTAAGACTAACAGTCGTACTGAATTGTTATTATGCCCGTGCCACATTATTTCAGGCAGTTTAGCTGTAACATTCTATCAAGTGCAGTGCAGCTTATGTTATTATATATTATTAAAAAAGAACAATTTGCAAGTGGAGTATATTCTAATAAATGATTCTATTCTACTTTTCTATTCTATTCCCAATGTTTGCTCAAGCGAGGATTGGGTTCACGTGAATAATTGCATCAAATAGTTTTCACGTTGACACTATAGATTTAGTCACAATCAAAAGTAAAAGCAAGTGATTGCTAAAGACCGAAGAGAAAAGTTACAGGACGCGTGTCAGCTCCCCGCCGCTCGCAGTGGACCCTGGGTACACAGGGCAGCTACTGTGCTACATTGCTACGGGAACGAATTCCGGAGTTCTGCAATATTTTATCTATTAACTAAATTGTTAAGTAAGTACTACAAAGTGCTTCGTTAGGCGACTCGTCTGAAAAAGTGACTGCTACGTATGTAAAGGTATGTTCACAACTATTTAAATATTTTATGCGACTACACCGTCTAACCGCATCTCCAGAAAACTATCGTAAACTCTATGCATCAACAATAAGCTACCGGCATTAAGTGCCGTAGTGTATCACCTCTGTCTACCCCTTCAGGGATAAAAGGCATGATGTTATGTTAATATATCTATAGCTACCTATATACCACTTCGTGGGAATAATAATGAACATATTAGTATGTTTCCCATATGTGTAGGTGTAGCCATATAATGTAAGTATAGTATACGGAGGCAAAGACATTTTTTTCAACGTCCTCGTACGGAGATTGCTCCGCAATACTTTGTCACCGACCCTGTTTGAGAGCCGAGTGGGTAAATAGAGTACCGAGGCGATGCTGATGGCGCCCCCTACGAATAAATATCTTCATTTGCATGTCAAAAGACTTCCATATTTCACTTTGAATTGAATTCAACCTTAGACAACTGTGTCAAACTGTTTGCGCGACGCGACACGCGACGCCCACACGCCAGGCTCAGGCCTGGCTGACTCTTTGTTAAACGTTCAATATCCGACTTAATGTGTTTCTCTTTAGAAATTTTAAGGGGTGATCTTGCGTAATGGTGACAAAATCATGTATTATATATATGTATCCTAACAAATATCATACATGCAATAAATAAACTAAGTTTGTTTGTTACTTCTTCACCTACTCGATTAACCTTTTGACATTTTTCACACTTAATACAAACTTTATAATAGTTGCGAGTACGGGAAACGAACTTCGACTTTCACCCGCAGGCCGCAGACAAAGCCGTGTTTATAGGTAATCATTTATGTTTGTAATCTGTGTTTTTAATTTAGATACTGGTAGGATAGTATTTTTCCAAAATAATTCATGTGCATAGTTCATATATTTGAATGAATGCCTGGCCGTGTTGTACAACTACAACACACTTTTTTATCTATTTGGAATATTATTCCATTACAAATACTTTGGGGGTTGCTGAGATACAACTACGCGGCGCTATCGAAGAATATTGGTATGATTATACAATGATTTTCTACGACATAACAATGTGTAATGGCCATTGGCACATCCACTATGATCCACCACAATAACCAATCTCGGCCTCCTACTGCCATCTCGCCATATACCTCGCAGCTAAATGGAAAGGTAAACAAACAAGCAGGTACGTATATATACACTTACAACAACCATGGACAGACATCAGTACAGGTTTACTAAAAATAACATTTCATAACGATATAGACTGGTAGTAATCGGTACTAAACAATAACAGCACCGGACAGATACGTACTGTTATAATACTCATACCAGTGCCCTGCCAACTTGGAAATTAAAATACCAAAGCAATACGTTTACACTCCAACCGCTAACCATATACAAGTACATCGTGCCTTATGCAAACAGATGCAGCTGCACACCCTAGGGAAGCTCTTCGGGAAGGAGATCCACTCCGCCGTACCCACGAACCATGATCCATGTAATCAAACACAAACATAAGAGCATTGGGACAGAGCGAGGACGTCGATACCTAAATGCACGAGTGTTGCGACGCAACTTGCAGATGTAGAGGCGTCAATATACCTTGACCTTGTTGTCCAGCGGGCGCGGCTCCGGCGCCAGCAGCGCGCCCAGCTCCACGCGGCAGGTGGACGGCCGCCGCGCGTCGCCGCCACCGCCACCACCGCTGCCAGCCGACATCTCCGAGCCTCCGCTCTCTGCGCACACACAGCACACACACTACCGTCAGCGGCGGCCGCGCCCTGCCGCGCGCAGCCGCCGCGAGCGCCGCGGCCTCCGCGGGCGCTGGCGAGAGCGGCCTGCGCAGCGATTCACCGCGTTGCAATGCGGACGAGGATATATTTAGCGAGGGCGGGCGGAGGACTGCCTTGCCGCACGAAAACTCACCGGCGCCATCTCCGCTGCGCGCGCCATCCCGCGTCCGCTCCGTGAACTGAAACAGAGCGAGGTGTGAGCATCGTGCAGAATATGCGCGCAACGGGCGCCAGAGGGCGCTCACCTGTACGCGGCGCTCGCGGCGCGCGGCGATCTGCCGCGAGTGGCGACGCAGCGCCTCCAGCGTGCCGCGCGCTCACTGCTCGCCTGCCGCCGCCACCGCTCCGCAACCTGCAAGGTTCGAATGTGAGTTCAAAGCTCCTTATTTATTGTTATTTCATCGTAAAATATTTTTGTGTACAGGTTTGTATACGTAGCCGTGTCATAAAAGTTACGCGCTAATTTTGCACTCTGCGTATGCTGGCCGAGCACGGCTGTTCCCTCTCGGGATATCTGGCTTCATCGATGTTTGTTTACACATACCCAATGCATGTCTTTTCCTAAACATGAGCACCTCATAAATTGTGAATGTACCTACTACAGTACATTATGAAATATTTATAGGTACTCTAATTCGTGCATTGCTTCCAACTATTTCGATAAGTAAGCATAGCAAGACGTACCTGTGAAGGCAGTTTACATGTAATAATTATGTGCAGTCTGCACACATTACAATGGCGTTTCCATGCACATCAAGACAAACCTGTATTTATGTATGCGATGCCCAGTGGAAGCGTCAATTACGTCTTAATAAGCCAAGCTAACTTTAATTACATACGTAAATACATACACATAGTTATACCTAGAATTGACGAATGGGATTACACCTGTAAGCCCAATGTCGAGCAAAGGTCTTTTCTTACACAGAGAAGGATAGAGCATCAATCACCACGCTTGCTAAAAGTGGATTCGTGATTTCAAATTTATAATTAGACATTATAACCTCTGGTTTCCTCGCGATGTTTTCCTTCACAGTTTGTCAGTGCAGTGTCAAACGGTGTGAAAGTAAGTATAGAACTCGGAAAAAGTCAAATTGGTACTTGCCCTCTTGGTGATTTCGAGCCCGCGTTCGCATGCATGAGAAGCGGACGTCTAAGGCCTCCGGGCCTCCACGACATCTCTAGGAGTGGCACATGTATGTACGTAAACTATGTTATAACAAGTCTCGGCAATGTTGGTTCTGCTCACGAGAGTGCTTACAAAAAAGTCTTTATTGCGAGCAACTTTACAAATAAATGAGCTGATCTCTGCGGAAAATTGATCACGTACTTGAGCTTCTCTCACAAAGTTCCAGAGAAACTTATCCGACACGGGGCCACGAGGGGCGCGGGGGGCGCGGGGCGCTCACACGACCGCCTTCTCCCCGATGATGTATAGCCTGCTGAAGTTAAAACTGAGGCACAAGTTTTCACAGTTCAACAATGTAATGGCACAGTATAAACATATACAGTAGGTTGTCTAAGGCCGCCCGCCGAGTTATTAGCCTACTCTTGCGTTGATCCCCAGGGTTGTCACTTTTACTTTTAGTTAATATTTTCGAACAAGCAGCACTTGATCTAAATTTATGAAAAGAAAAGCATATTATGATTGAATATTTTATCAATCTATAAATTTAGTAAAAATAAAAAGCTTATAAAAAGATTATTAACTTCTTAAAATAAACTTTAGCAGTATACATAGTATTCAGAAAGTAAATTTGGGAATACATTTATATGGAAAAATGCGACTCGGCTACGTTCTTAACAAATCAGATAAACTGTGAAATAAACAATACAATACCACATTTTCTTATAATATTTAAGTATAGTAGGTAATTACATTTCTGGTTGAGTAGAAACTATGAAGAATGATAAGAGTAAGAATAAGTAAGTAGGTATCTCATCATCAAGTACCTACAAATTATATTATGCTAGAAAAAGTGACTAGCTTACCTTTCCTGTTCAATAGGTACCTAATCTGAACAGAGACAGTTCCGGAATCAATTAATTATTAAGACACCCAAACACACAGCAATACGTTCTTCTACGATTATCAGACATTTTTTATTTCATTGAACAGTGCCGAAAAGCCGTGAAGCGCGCGCGAACCTCGTGCAGTGTTAGCCCTGCCTAGCGCACTGAGAAACGGGTCGAGATTTTGTTAAAGTGTGCGTGCGTCGACGCATAGATACTATGGCGCACACATATAAGCCGCGCGCGGAGCATTTGTATGAAGATAACCTACTTTGTTCTTTATACTATGGTAATGGTTAGCTAATCTCGTAGTTACGGTTCTACTGCCATGCCATTGTGCCACAATATTATCATTAAATACAACTTTATACGATCACAATCACTTGCAAATTATTTTGTTACGACAATCTATTTACGAGATCATGAGTTTTTAATGGGATTAGAAGACGCCGCGCCGCCCGCCTCATTACAACACAGCCATTGAACACAGCACGCAATGTAACGCGGAGGCGCGAGTTTTGTATACAATACTTGTACAAAATATTATTTTGTTGCTCCCGACGGGGCATGCGATAAACCTGATTAGTTACGCTGGAAAATATATCGATTTGTAGCCTCTAGAGATTTTAGATGGTAAGGAAATTGGAACCATTTTTTGTCGATGAACAATGATTTTATGTAAAATGTACGGAGAATTAGAAAGTTGTGCCTGCGAATATATTCCGTATCAAAAGACCATTTTGATTTGTTCGACACTATAAAATATTAAAAATGAATCATCAACATGTTTACAAAGTCGTTGATCAAACATGAACCGTATTGCCTGTAGGTACCTACAGAATATAAAAAGTTGTTTAGGATATAAAAAATCTGTCGGAGCTGGCAATATTTGTAAGCCGAGGCGGAGCGGCCGCACTACGGCCACTATAAATTGAATAACACTTCATCATACATGTTATTGTATTGGAAACATTCGAATTCATTGCTCCCGCGTGAGTTTAGATCTGACTTCATAATAAAACCCGAACGTCACATCATCGAGGATCTGTAGCGTAAAAACACATTTTATCTTAATATCTACGCGTTTACGGTTTGGCAAGCAGAGTACAGCGGCGTGAAATCAGCGTAAGCTGGAAGATGTGTCTATCTCGGCCCTGCGACACCCGCCGAACGACTACAACACAACAATAGGTTGTACGTTGCAATGAGTGATTTTGTGCGAACAGATACACCTTTGTATAGAGGTAACTATGTAACTGTACATACATTAACCATCGAGACCCTAGTTGTCGATAAATGTTGAACGAATGATATTATGTAACAAAATGTTCACCATTTGTAGTATGTTCGCCTTAAAACCTAAGCACCTACTCGACACTCGTCGCTCGCCTGATTGACGACACAAGTGTTATAATCTCGATAGCTATCGACTGATAATTCGACGAGTCGTCGAACAAATGACAAATATGGAACCGACGACGTGCGGATGTTCGATTACGATCTTATCTTCTGTGCGACGTGATTTCATTGTTTATCGCATTTTATTGAGCTTTTAATTAATAAATATTCTCTACCTGGCTCGTGGTTGGAATGTTATATAACTACATATTACTATATGTGGAATTCTGATTTAGAAAAGTTATATATTAGGTATACTAAACAAAACAAGTCGGACATTTTGTAATTAATTTTTAATGTGTATGTGCATTTGTTGTAATATTGTATGATTGTAAACGTACCCACGATACTGGAGAAAATCCTAGTGTGGGGCAAAGTTAAAAATAGCTTATTAATATATTTTTACTAAAAGCACAGCACAATCACATATCACTCATACGTACGTTTTAATGTTAGATAATACTGACTTTGCTAGTAAAATAACCAACGCAGTCAAAGCAAGTAAAAACTTGAAAATCTGTAAAATTTTATTCCGATCATAAACATTACACTGCGCTTCTTAATAAACAAATGGCGAGAGAGACACCCCAGGCAAAGGGAGGGGAGAACTGTCATCAATAAGGCAATAAATAGTCTGAAGCAAGTGTTAAGTGGCGTCAACCGGCGAGTCGGGGGCGGGCAGCGGGCAGCGGGCTACACAAACACGGGGCCGCGACACCGAGGGCGACAGCGAGGCGACCCGACTGCAAGCACTAGGCAATGTAGAAGATAATCACGTATAAGTTACGCGAACTGTGATTAAAAATCGTAAAAATATGTAATTATGGTCGTAATTTATATTAAATGTGTGAATAAAGGCCAGCTTTCATTTTATAAATAGTTAGATAGCAGTAGCGGAACCAGAGACTATCCTACGACGACGTCACTTATTACAATTTGATGACGTCAACGCGTGCTTGACGCAGGTCTAGGGACGTCGGCGTGTGGCAGCCGCGAGCCAGTGCATGCCATTCTATTATTGTAACGTGTAACAAAACATCACGCCTTTTATTCTTCGAAGGGATAGTCGTATTGAAATGTTACTGTTGTTACCCACTTCTGTAAGGTGTTATCCATAAACACTGCAATGATGAAATTAAAAATTACGTATTGATTGAATGAAATGGATGAAATGTATAATATGGCGCATATCATAATAAAAATAATACATTAAGTGACACTGCGCTGCGAACTATAAGTATCACACTTAGCACTCAGCGATGATGTACCAGCATATTATTATATCCTTAAGGTACGGTCTGGGATCGCGTAATGGATTTATTACGACCATCGAAAGCGTATTTTGGCACTTGAAGTTTACAGCTTAAAAGCTTCCAATTCACCGGCGCGCGGCCAGGCCACTACTGCAGGAAAACAAACCTACGTCTAAATAAATCCTGTAATATACCTACTTTAAGAGAGTAATTTTGGTCATTGTCATTTACTTACTTTAAAAAACTAAAAACACAGTTTTAC